TTATAGTAATAAGAAGGGCAAAGGGAAAGTCCTATTATATACTTTCAAAACTGATTAATTCCAATTTTCCAGGTTAAACCACAAAGTATGCACACCAAGTCAGGAGTGAGGAAGCCTGGGTTTCTACCCTGCCTCTGCCACTTGGTTACTGGAAGTTGGACACTTTACTCTCCGGGTCTCTGTTTGTGCATCTGTAAAATGAGGATGATAATACCTGTCTCACAGAGATGTTCTGTAAATCAAAATCTATGTAAAAATTCTAAAAGGATGTATAAGCCCCACTACATATTAGTGCTCTTTCATCCCCTGTCTCTTCCTGGATTTCGTGAACTGACATGACGAGGAAAGCCAAGCATTCACCATCAGGAAGCTTGCAGACAGCCCTTAATTAGCTCACAGTGGCCCAATGGTCCTGTCACGAGAATGATTGAGGCTTTAGTGTTACCTTCCCAGTGCTAATCCATGAACTCTAACTCAGTACTAGGTCCTAAGATAAATGCACAGGATTCTGAAATGCTTTGTAACCTGGGTTTACCAGAAGCAGGGAAACTGACCTTGTTATTTTAATAATTTGACTCCTATCTAAATTATGCCATTAGTCATGTAAATATTAATTAATAGCAATCTAAACTAATAAAAGAGAAAGATGCAAATTGGCCATACCTTTGTGCCACCCACCAGCCAATCAGGAGTGAGTATGCAAATTATCCCAACAACGGTGGAGTGTTAATTTGCATACAAAGGTACTGAGCGACCTGGAGCGGGACCGCTTGTGTTGTCACCATGGCAACGAAGCAGGCATTCTGCCACTCCAGCCACTCAGGGCCTCTGGGCAGTGTGGGAAGGCAGAAAGGAGGCTTCAGGCCAGAGCGAAGGTGGTGCCAGCAGAAGAATGGGGAAGAAAGACCATTCTTGCATGAATCTTTGTACATTGGGCCTCTAGTATATTATAACATAGTAGCTAAGGATTTTAAGGGATGAGAAGCACCAGCAAAATGAGGGAATATGCCTACTGAAATCTAGTGGTCTTCAATGTAATAGAATTTGAATCTTTTCCTCTCTGGTGGGTGCATAAAGGAAATATGCTTATGGTGCCCCTGACTAGCTTGCCGGTAGATTTTCACTGTGCTAATGAACTCCGAAGGGATCTGTAAGCCTTCAGGTGGGAGACACAGGGAAGGGTGTGCGTGGTGATCCATGAGAAAGATCATGCAGCTTGAAGACGGGGCGGGGTTGGTGCTGCCTCAGGAGAAAGCACTGAAGTGTTGCCAAAGAACGAGCTTCCAAAACAGCTGGCAAGTCTTCAACAGAAGCATCAGGGATTAGAGAAGTTCCAAAGCTCGTAGAACCTTTCCTTTTACCAATTCAGGAACTGCTGTATAAAGAGGTCTCCTCAGAAAATAAGCTGACTCTCTTTGGGGAGCTTCTGGATGTTTCCATGGTGTGGGGAGCTGAGCTTCAGATGAGGGACGGGAGAAAGGAGGATGTTCCAGCAAAAATGCTGTCCCTGCCCTTGAAATGGGGGACAGGTGCTTTATGGAGATGATATAGAAGCTGAGATAGAGCCGGAGCCACATTTTCAAAGAAGGCCATTGCACAGGAAGTCCTAAGGCCTGCAAGGAACCTTGTCCTCCCCTGAATCCATGGAGAAAAATAGGATGGATGGTCCTGACAAGGCAAGCAAAGGGCAGGGGCAAGACAGCAGAAAGGATGACGTGTGGCCAGGCCAAAGACTGCTGAGCCCACCAGCATGACCCTGAGGAACAGTGGGAAATGAGGCCAAACGGCTGAGGAGCTAGAATGCAGGATGAAGGGAACTGGTTTCTTACTATTTATATGCTTATGAACTGAAATCATCGACGTAAGTGTGGGATTACAGACGCACACCTTGTGTTGCCAGCAAAAACTTTTGTGCTCCAAGAGGATGTGCAAAGTTTTGCATACTCCGCTTGGCTGAAAATAGATAAATAGAAAGTTGAACTAAAAACAAAACAAAAAAAACTCCCACTCTAAAAGAATCATTTAAAAAAGACTAGGCTGTCCAGTTCCTGGCCTGCTTCCCAAAGGAAGCACGGAGAACCAGGGTGAAAAGATGAGATGGTCTGTTCATACACTCCCCAACTCTTTCCTGCCATCCCAGAGCTATTTGCAGTTGGGTGAGATGGCTTCTGTGGACATGTATGCTATAAAACATTTGCAAAGGGACACAGCGTTTTAGCATTGGTCCTCCCACTTGACTGAGGAGGCAGTTCTTAGACACACGTCCTAAGCGGACAGCTCTGCGACCCCTGCCAGATTCCCTCCTTCCGTGAAAGCCAGCAGCTCCCTGGGGAGACCGCATGAAGCAGAGGATGTAATCAGAACGTGGGAGTTTACGCTGCGACTTCCTGGTCAGGATTAGGAGGCCAATTAAAGCCCAGATGCTGCACACTCATCTTGGTGTTTCAGGAACTCTGGAGACAAACGAGGAACAGGGTGTACTGCCTCTGAGGCGTCATGTGAAGACAGGGCCCCTGGGATTCCTCTCTCTGATTTCCCCGCACAGGCCCCTGGGGCGGGGGCGGGGGGTGAGGGAGCTGGGGGAAAGGCTCGTTTGTTTCCAGGTGCAGGTTTTCTCCCAACCCCACAACCAGGACCACAGTCAACCCTCTACCCCGTCCTCACAGACAGGCTGCCTTCCCAGCCAGTCCCAGCCAGCTCACCTCCCCTCCCAGCGGCAGTGTGGCCCCACAAAGATAGGGAAGCCTGAGTGAGGACTCTAAAATCAATAAGGAACAAAGGAAGGACAGTCCCTCCGTCCCACCTATATCTTCATGAACATGCTACCTATCCCAGGGAAGAGTTTTGATGGGAAGTGATCAGGTAACAGTGCACACACACAGCAATACGAACAGCAATGGAAATAATATGAGGAGAAAGTCACCCATAACTCAGTCACTCCAACAAGTGAAATATTTTTTATCACCTTTACTCCCTCCTAGCCCCTGCCCAAATACACTTTACACTTACCCTGAACAGAGCTTCAATCACAGGGCATGTGCAGCTGCATTTTTTTTTTTCCTTATCATTGCAGAGGATTATAAACATTTCACCCCGGTTGCTGCTTAGACAGAGCGTGTTGCTTACAGAGCAAACACACCAGGCCTTGAGCAAATAAGGCTCACTGCCCACCCCTCCTCCACCCACCGTGGAAGTTCTTGTACAATTTATTCTAACCTGACTCCTCTTCTGGTGGAAATTCCTTTTTCAGCCCAATATGACTGTCAGATTTATAGGAGTCGTAAAAAGTTTGATGATTAAACCAAATTCATTTGGAGCTGGGAAAATATCAAAAAACACATTTTTCTGTTGTGCGTAAAACATCAAATGAGCATGAAACCTGGACTGCTCATCTTTCCCCAAAGCCAGGAGCCTATCACTGCAAGTATCCGGAGCCATCCTCAGTCCTGGTTCTACCTCATCGGCTCTGAGGCAGCTTCCCCACTCCCTCAGTTCCTCTGACTTGGAAATATGGGAGGAGATCCAGTGCCAGACCAGGCAGTGCAGAGGCTGCTCAGGTCTGATCAGACTGTTGGGACAGAGTAACTCCAAAATGGCCCTGGGTCTCCCAACCAACTCACTTCTGCCTTGGGCTACATAACAGGCACTGTGATCAGTTTCCACGGTCCTTCTTTTCCCATGGCCGGGATGTCCTCTCAAGTAGAAAGCTATCCCTGTCCTTACAGGAAGTTGCCAAGCAGTTCAGATAGCTGGCATGCTGTAACCCAGCAAGTGTGCCCCCGCCCCCACTCCCCATGTTCCCTAAGGGCTCATCGTTTTCTTCTTGTGCTCTCCCCTTCTGACCAGCTCCTTTCCTGGACCATCACAGAGACCATCTAGACCCAGGCCAGCTTCTTCAATCCAGCATTGAGTGCCCCCAAAGGTCCCTAACGTAAATTTCCATCCAGAACACATACAAATCTACTCATATGCAGTCTACTTTTTCAGTAAGAGTCCAAGAAATAAGCCAGTTTTGGAACTCTTGTCAACTATTCCTTAAATGACAAGCATCTCCTAGAAGTGTGTGTGTGTGTGTGTGTGTGTGTGTGTGTACATGTATACATCTATGCGTGTATATTGTTTGCTTGCCTTGGATGGTTTGAGTCTTCTTTAACTCAGAGCCAGCTGCAGGATGAGCCAGTGACAGAGAAGGCTGGTTGGGTGGCATGGCCATGAGAAATGAGTGCTGGGCTATAGTAATTTCAAGCCCCTAAGGGGTCTACTGAGTCCTATATTTTCCAATTCCTTGCAATATGTCTTTTTAGAGACTCTAGCTCTATATATTTTAAAACTTTCTTTTATATATATATATATATATATATATCCTGAAAAGACATATATATATATATATACATACATACATATATATATATATATATATATATATATATATATATATATATATATATATATATAGTTGTGTGTTTTTTTGAGTATTTGAAGGAATTTTATCTTATACTAGTGGCCCAATGCATGAAATTCATGCAAGGGGCTCGGCCTTCGCAGCCCCAGCTGCCTCTCGGCCCCGCCCACTGGTTGTTCCAGAAGGTTGTTCTGGAAAGTCATTCTGGAAGGTCATTCCATTGTCCGGTTAATTACCATTTTAGCTCTTTATTATATAGGATTTTGAGAGAATTTTAAAGTATAATGTGAGTCTTCTCAATTTAACATCTCCCCCCTTTTTTAAAGACCGCAAGAGAGAGAGTCAGGAATCAAAAGCCTTTCCTTATTCTGCTGAAAAGCAAAATCAGTTTTTATCTTCCGAAGGAAGGAAGGAAGGAACGTGACACAGAGCTTGGGTTCTAGAACAGAACGTTTTTCTGGACTTCCAAACCATAATTAGCATACTCACAAACAAAAAGAAAAGGTAAACAGTTATTTGGGAGGTGAAATGATGGTTCACTGGATTAGCTAATGTAGCTGGTATTTCACACTATCTCCTCATGTTGTCTGTCTCCCAGTGTCTGAGCTTCAAGGGCTACAGAAAATGATTGACAGCCTCGAGAGACCCCAAGACCCCACCCAGGTGTCCCAGGCGCTCCTCCTCCGGAGGGAGGTCCTGTTTTTGCAATTCGATGCTGCAGTGAGGCACCTCATCCGGTAAGGGCCCGAGCGCTAATCCTGTCTAGTAAATTCTGCAGGGCAGATGTTTCTGAGTGACCATCGAGGGAGACCACTTTTAGCAAGATTAGAGAACAAACCTTAAATAGTCAGGGGCACAGCCCAATCCAGAACCACTGTGGCTACCAGCTGTGTTCTTCCACAAAGGCCATGGGTGTGGACTGTGTTCTTGTGGGATAATTTATAGTCTTGATTTTCTTAAAGGTGATTTCAGTGCAGTTAGTTTGCATAACAATTGCTGCTTTCAATATTCAGATGATTTTATTGGGAATAATATTTTTATACTTCTGAAGATGATTCTTTCCAAGAGTTTTGTTTATTGTTTTCAGCCCTTAACTACCTTTCAGAAGATCAGAGCTTGCCCTGTACTTCTGAAGCCAATGGAATCGGCTACCTGAGTTGTTAAAAATAAATAAATCTAGCCCTGGCCTTGAAGGTAGTAAGTACTCTGCATATAAAAAGAATGTTTATCTGGTTAATTAATCGTGACTGATGAGGGAATTTGTTTGGATTAAGAGTCACTGTTTCCAGGATAATTAATACATTTTGTGTAGAAAGGAAAGAAGGCAGTCCTGGGGGTCTCTCCTTATCCTTAAATTGCCAACACTCATTAATGTCCTTTGATTCGTTCTCTGTGGGAGTATTTAGTCAATGAGGAAGACCTGGGAGGCAGGGAGTGCTCTCCGCTGTGGATCACTCCCCACCCCCCACCCCACCCCGAAGTGTGGGTGTCCATAGAGGATGGAAGTGTGAGGACTGTACTGAACTATATTTGCTCTCTGTACTCTGCCTTTTCCACATTGTGAGCATCAGGGGACTGGATCCGGCTCATTTGTCTTCTTTTTATTGACAAAGCTTTCTGAGCTATAGCCTAGTCAAGCAGGTAGGATTAAAAGGCTCTAATTGTCAGGATGGCCATTTATTAGCCTTCTGGGCTCTGAAACCCCAAGTCAGAATTTGCAATGAGTTTACATAGGGTGAAGAAAAAGGACTATACTCCAAAAGGTTTTTTGGGGGGTTTCAGCTACATGGGGTTCAGCTTGCTATGGTTCTCCCAAGGGACTGCTCTCCTTCCCCCCAGGAATTGCTTTGTGGGGCTTTCTTGGTCCTGGCACACTCAGTCTGCAGGAAGGGAGGGCCCTGTGGCCTATGTCTGAGTACGTAATACTCACAAGGCCAGGGGTAAGGTCATTTCTTTATGACAACTCAGATAGCCGGTTCAGAAAGTGTCAGGACCAGAACCAGAACCTAGGTGCACTGATTCCAAAACTTGAGAACTGGGTGGGTACCAGACAGCAGTACTGAGAGAAAAGGGGACTCTGAAGAGAAGTCCCCTACTAACCTGGTATCACTGGAATCCGAAAGAACTTCTGGGACTTAGTCCCACTTTTTTTACCCTACGTAAGTCCCTTGCAAAATCTGACTTGCTGTTTCGGAGCCCAGAGACGGGAGAAAAAGAGAAGCTGAACAGTAAATGGCATCCATCTTGCTGGTTTTATTTAGTACTGAACCTGCAAACAAGGAAAAATCCTTAGGTAATCAAAGAGACAGGAAGCTTGGGAAGTGTCCTCGCCCTTCCCAGCACTCACAACCTCGGAGCAAATATGATTGTTTACCCCAGGAAAATTTCTGCTTATGTAAACTGAAGACTTCTTAGCGTTTGAAAAAGAAAGAACTGAACTCTTAGCTAGCATGAGAACAGCATGCTCCCATAGACTAGGGCCGTGGTCAGCAAACCGCGGCTCGCGGGTCACATGTTGCTCTTTGGCCCCTTGAGTGTGGCTCTTCCACAAAATATCACGGCCTGGGCGAGTCTGTTTTGAAGAAGTGGTGTTAGAAGAAGTTTATGTTTTAAAAATTTGGCTCTCAAAAGAAATTTCAATTGTTGTACTGTTGATATTTGGCTCTGTTGACTAATGAATGAGCCAGGGGAAGAGGACATTATCTGCCATACAGGGCCACAGAAGAATTGCTTTTGGGAACAGAGTGAAAAACCAGGGGCTGTGGAAAGCAGACTTTGTGCATTGGGAGCATGTGGTATCCCCAAGTTTCCACGGGAGCATACTATTGGTTCATTTAAATCATTTTGTGGTATACAATTTTTATAAGTATTTATTTGAGCCAAATTGATGACGCATGCTGGGTAGGGAACAAGATCTCAAATGCTCTGGAAAATAAAAGTTTGCAATTTCTCTTATGCATTTGAAATTGAGACAAGAACCAAGGAAGATTGCATGAAGGTGGGAGAAAGCAAGGTGGGGATCAGTTTGCGGTACAGTAATGAGATTGTGTGTTCTCTTGCTCCCCTTAGTAATAGGGTTATAAAGGGGGCATTTCAAAGGTGTGTTAGCCTAGATGCACAAGAACAATGGACAGAGCTGGCTTAAAAACCTTCACTAAAGAAATTATAGCCCTGCCAAGACCGGTTTGGCTCAATGGATAGAGCGTCGGCTTGGGGACTGAAGGGTCCCAGGTTCGATTCCGGTCAAGGGCATGTACCTTGGTTGCGGGCATATCCCCAGTAGGGGATGTGCAAGAGGCAGCTGATCGATGACTCTCTCTCATCGATGTTTCTAACTCTATCTCTCTCCCTTCCTCTCTGTACAAAATCAATAAAATATATTTTTTAAAAAAAGAAGAAAAAAAAGAAATTATAGCCCTGACCGGTATGGCCAGTTGGTTGGGCGTCGTCCCATGCACCGAAAGACTGCCAATGTGTGGGCTCAATCACGGGTGGGGCGTGTGCAGGAGACAGCTTATTGATGTTTCTCTCCCTCTCTCTTCCTCTCTCTCTAAAATCAATTTTTATATATACCATATAAGAAATTGTATATATACCATTTATATTTATATATACAATATATATATTTATAGGCCTGGGGCATGACTACTCACCATGGCCTGCCCAGTTAGGAATTTGTGATTTATTACAGCACCCTTTTATTGCCCACACAGAGAACGGAAACCACTCCTCAGAAATAAGCAGGGACTGCACTTGGCCCCTGTGGGGTCAGGATGGGGAGGGGAACCTGTGATTAGGCCATTCAAGGCCCTCCTGATTTTACCTGATGTCAAGGCAGCACATAATATCGGACCTTCATTTTAGGCCTCACACCTCACCTGTCTTCTCCTTCGTTCCCCTCAGAGGTGACCCGAGTTCCTGGTGGTGCTTCTAAATCATCCTGGCAGTCAGGGAAGAGTGCCCACCTCAGCCATCTCTGTTGTTGCTTAGCTGGCCCAATCCAGATCTCTTCTGGTTGGCCTGCTGCTCAGCACCCTGCCTAGACACCAGTTCGGGCACTCTTCCACACTTTGATTGTCTGCTGGTCTCTGGGAGGCTGCCTCCTTTTCCTCAGTGCTAACATCTCCCTTAGTCATGCTAATCTCCTTTTTCTTTATGTCTGCTTTATGCAACACTGGGGCCAAGCCCATTGAGGACCCAGGCAAAAGGTCCTTCTGTTCTGGGACACCGCCCCCCTTTCTGACCCTCTTCCTACTCCTGCTTATCCTTTCTCAGGATCCTTTCTTGGTCATCCACCAGATCTAAGCTCTAGAAACAGTCTTTTTTTTCTTGTCTTTTTTTGCTTAACTCTTCCTTTTGAGTAAGAAAGTCATTATAATGTATCATGCATACTTCCTTCTCTAGAGCATAGGGTATAAATTTCATCCTCTATTCTTTAGAATTTTTGGTTCTTGATAAGCAAAGCCAAGTTTTGTTAAAAACAAAACAAATATCTTTCTCTTTCAAACTCCAGGTTCTTATTATTTAATTTAAAATTTGATTTTACATGTCAAGAAATGTCATCTCAGCTATTGGTCTTAAAATAATCAATTCAACAAGCAACCAATATCATTGTTCTAGACTAGAGCAACAAGTGAACTGTCCAATAGTAGCCACATGTGGCTATTCAATGCAAAACTTTAAATTAATATTGATTTAGATTTAAATAAAATTTAAAATTCAGTTCCTCAGTTGCAGTAGCCACATTTCAAATGCTCAACAGCTGGTGGTGATTATCATCTTGGACAATAAAATATAGAACATGTCCACATTTAGGAAGTTCTATTGCTCATTGCTACCGTCTGCTTGAGAGCTGTGAATTGTGGAAGTGAAGGGTAATGTGAGGGATGAGATCCCGGAGGAAGAAACCTGTTAATGTCTCTCATCTTGCTAACGTAACTGAAGAAAGTTTTGAGTACTAGAAGCTTAAGTAACTGCTTTTCATGAGATTCCCTCTGTTTTTTGGTAGGACATTTTTGACAGCTGGGAATGCTCCTGCCTGCCAGTCTGTCACAGACGGCTTGTGCCATGGGCTGCCACCGCTGAGCAACTCACTGATAAAGAGCATTTTTGCTTCACAGCTCAGCCTGCCCCCGCCACTGGATCTACAGAGCCTCCAGGTGTGCTGAGAGGTATTTTATACCTATGAAAGGTGTATTGTGCGTAGGGGATTTCGTCACTTTGTGTCCATTTGGTGTAAATATCGCTGGGACTCTCAGAGCTCTCCTGCACTCCCGTCTTGGTTGGCTTCCCTCTGCTCACAGGGAAGAGCAGTGTGGCCCCACAGCCAGCTGTTATCCCCAGTCAGGGCTGTTAACTCCAAACTGCTCAACAGGCTAATTGGGGCAAAACTTATCTGCTCACAGCTGGTGGCAAAACCAACATTTGATCTTTTTCATTCAAGAAATAATGAAAGCAATTACAATACATAAATTAGGCAGCAGCTGGGTTTTGAACAGCCCTGCCTACAGCAGGTGTTAGCAAATGTAATCCTGGCCACTATTATCGCTCCTGGGCACCAACAATATTACCCGCCTTCTACAACTAAAGAACTTAAGATTCAGGAAGCCCAGAGATCAGACTGCCAGGTAGACATGGAAGCACCAGCTCACAAATTGCATTAGTTATCTAAGGCTGCCATAACTCAAAACTTAGCATATTAAAACAATACACAGTCATCATCTCATATGGTTTCTGGGCTCGGGAATTTGGGAACAGCTCCACTGAGTAGTTCTGGCTCAGGAGGCGGCCTAAGGTGTTGGCCTGTGCTGTAGTCACCTCAAAGTTCTTCTGGAGGGGAATTTCCCCAGAGTGAATGAATTAAAAGAGAGAACTCAAAATGGGAGTTACATTCGCTTTATTACCTAATTTCAGAAGTGACATGCATCACCTTTGCCACATTCTATTCCATGGATTGAACCACTGATTTCATCACACACCAAGGGGGTGGGGGCTGAGAATTAAACTCCATCTCTTAATGGGAACAGTAGCAAAAATTGGTGGGCACCTGTCAAAGCACCTCACAAGCCTAGGTCTTTTGACTCCAAAACCCCTTATCCAAAACCTCCAGCCTAATGTTTTTATGTAGTAATGCCCACATCAACCCCATGGAAGTCTCACGCCTCTACCTTCCCTAGCTATAAGACAATGACTCCTGGCCCAAGCCTTGACCCTCTCTTAGACCCAGAAGACAAGGTTGGACCATGACCATTGGGTCTGTTCCTTCTGCCTTTGGGTGTTGCCTGCAATTAGGCGGATACAGTTATCTTAACTCCCTGCCAGCTGCATCAACTCCAGGTCTAGGAACTGTCTGAAGCCAGTACCAGGTCTGGAAGTGTCAGATGGGGTCAGCTGGGGTCAGCTGGACAGGTCTGCTATATCCAGGGCTGCTTGTGATATAAGCAGTGCAACGAGGAATAGGCTGTTGGACAGTGATGTGGAGAAGATGGTGTAACGTTGTGGCATTGATTTTGAGTTGTTACTTAGAATTGAATCACAACGGTGATTAAAGATAAATTTTTAAGATTTCTAGTATCGAGAACATTTTAAACTTACTTTAAGTTATAAATATGTCCCATTGGTCTTATACTGTTCTGGAACTTGCAAACGATGTTCTGACTAGTTACACTGAAGTCTTGAGTACCCTGTGTTTAGCCACTTTCTGAAAAATTAATTTAACAAAATCAGATTATAACTCTCTCCTCTACATCATTAGGAACAATACATTAAGAACTATTTCTATATAATAAATAAATCATCCCACCGTACTTTGGGGTGCAGACAGAGTTATCCTGTTCTTATACAGACGTCTATTACTTATGGACACAGGACAGCATTATCATTTTCGTTATTTGCTCTCTCAAGGCATCTGTGCTGTTCCCTTGGAGAACGTTTCTAGAAGATGGAGGACCGTTTCCAGTTATGAGTAGCAGCCCAGATACCCTGGAATATAATATGCAGGTAGGATGGATCTTCCCACTTGTCACAGAAGTAACTGAATACAGACTGCAAAGCTAGTGTCATTGGGACATAAGTCAGATCCTCCACCCTCTAGCCTGTGGTGAATAATGGGTGAGATAACCAGGGTGCTTTATAATGAGGCCATAAACCCGATGACTGTAAGTTTAAGCATGTTCTCTTACGTCAAAAGAGAATCTTGGTCTGAGCTGGTATCAGCCTTGGTTGTAAATGCAGATTCCTGTGATCCATAGTGATCTGGAAGAGAGGCCAGCCTTTCCCAGTCGCTCCATGAGCCTCTTAGAGAAGCACCCAGGCTGGCAGCTCAGACACATGTGACTTCTGACCCGTCTGTGAATAGTGATAGGAAGAGAACTCCGTAAGCAGAACTCACACAGAGAATTTTTTTTTTCAATGATGTGTTTTCCCTCCAATTGTTTAAGCAAATATTATGTTTTCATTTTTAAAAATATAAAATATGGGGAAAATTTTAAGAACAACATGGAAATCAATCATAAATTTACTTCAAAATAATATGGAGGTGGGGGGTGGTGGCAATGGGGCAGAACTTGCCATAAGTTGGTAGTTTGGGGGCTGGTGGTGGGAATGATTCTGTTAGCTTTTGTATATGCTCAGAGTTCTCCATAAGTCAAAAGTGTGGGTTTTCCAAGTAAAATAGTAAGAATGCTTAAAAAAAAAAAAAAAAAAAAAAAAAAAAATTATGGCCTCCCACCAAGAGACAATCACAATTCACTTCACATTTTGAGTTATCTTTCCCCAGTATTTTCCTGATGCATACATGTGTTTGTATCTGTACTTTTAAAGGAAAATTGGCATCACACTAGACATTCGCCATGTACAGATACCACTGGGAAACGTGGACTTCCATACAGAGCCAAAAGTCTGATATGAAGTTCCAAGAATACTTTGAGTTAGAAATGGTACTCTGATTATTATGGAATTTTTTAATAGCTGAGAAGTCAGGGCTTGTAAACATAATTATTTCTAGTTTTCTCCCCAAAAGCTATACATAAAGGATACATAGAAGTCTTCAAAAATGGATGTTTTTATTTTGTTTTGTTTTGTTTTGTTTTGTTTTTAGCTGTGCCTCTGTAGGCTGAGTGACCATGACCTCAAGGTGGCTCATGGAGAGCTGGTGGACATGCAACTGCTAATGGGAGATGTACTTCTGAGTAGTTATCATATGATCGTGGAGGGCCCCCCACGACAGCAGGGCACACTAGACGAAAATACACAGGTATTCTTGGTGAACAGTCTACATAATTGGCCAATGTTATGTTGTCCTAAAGGACCTTCTGGTTTGGAGATAGACGAGAAAGCCACATCTGACAAACCCATGTGCTCTCTTCTCAGTACCTTCCTGCAAGCCGGTCCTTCTGGTGGAAAAATTCCTTCTTCTCTCACTTTCTGCTTCATCATCCAATGAACTCCTACTTATCCTTCAGGTTTTAACTTTCAAACCAGCTTTCTGAACGCCTTTTCTGGTCTTCCATCTTTAAGCAAATGCCCTCTGTGCCAATTAGGGTGCACCTGCCATAAATAACAGGTTGTCCCACTAGCCATGACTTAAATTAGAGGAGTGTGTTAATCTTTCAAAACAAGATTAGAAGGAGGTAGGTCAGGTTAGGGCACCCAGCTCTGCCATCCTGGTGTGTCAGCAAATGCCTCCCTCATCCTTATAAAATGAAAAGAGGAGCAAAAAGCTTTCTCCTTAGGAGCCTTTATCTTTTTATCAAGGAGGAAAGAACATCTAGAAACCTCCCAATAGACTTTTCTATGTCTTACTGACACTGAGTAACAGGTCCACTTCAGACCTTTTGGTGAGAAAAGAAGTGTATTCAGATGCACCATCTAAATTTCACAATAGAATTCAGTGCTTCACTGCGAAGGGGCATTTGCAAAGCTGGGTATAGACCAAATAACGCCAAGATCAAGAAGCATGCTGGACCCTTTGGTCCCTCTCTTGACCATATTTTGGCTCTGTTTCTGACAGATTACCATTGTTCCCCAACACCCCCGACTCCTCCACCTTGTTCTCTATCCCAGTTCCTATTCTTCCTCCTATCCTTTCAAACCCTTAGGAAAAGAAGGCTTCTCTTAATATGAATACTTGATGCTTGAAAAACACCAGTCTGAAAATGCACATGTCTGCTTGTACATGGGATTTTTCAATGTACAGTTAGCCCTCTATACCCTCGAGTTTCCCATCTCAATTCAACTTAAGTTCACAGAGCAGGGGTCGGTGCCCCTAGCCCCCATGTTGTTCAAGTGACGACTATATATTAACTCGGTAAGTTTGCTTTAAAATTCTTGTTTACTTTAATCAGTTTTATTTTATAATTTGTTTTACTTAGCAGTATGTAATTATTCATAGTCAATAGTAAACACTGGGATTTATACTGCCTGTGGGTTATGTATGACTCTGGATTCCCTGTTTCTGCCATGCCATCAGTTCTGTGATCTCTTAGACTTCCATCTAAAACTCCAAAGGCGGCCTGAGGACTGAAGAGTCCCAGGTTCGATTCCTCTCTATAAAAAAACTTCAATAAGGTATATTTAAAAAAAAAAAAAAAAAGTTACTTATGTCGAAACTGGGGTGGCTCAGTGGATAGAGCATTGGCCTGTGGACTAAAAGGTCCTGGGTTCGATTCTAGTCGAGGGCATGTACTTGATTGTGGGCACATCCCCAGTAGGGGGTGTGCAAGAGGCAGCTGATCAATGATTCTCTCTCGTCGATGTTTCTGACTCTCTATCCCTCTCTCTTCCTCTCTATAAAAAAATCAATAAAATATATATTTAAAACTCCAAAGGGAAAGTGACTAACCAGCTCAGGGCCTTTAAAATTGTGGTCCCAGGAGCCCTGGGTTCCTCAGAGGCACTTTGGGGGGTTTAGAGCAGAGGGGCAAACTATGTGGCCCATAGGCTTTGCCTCCTATCACCCTGTTTGGCCCTGGTCTGTTGGATATTGGGGGCTACTGCGTACAATTTCATGGGACAAAGGTTTCTGAAGACGAGGTAAATCTGGAAACGCATGGATTAGCTGATTGTTGAGGAAGCGGGCTACCAGGTTGAGGGGTTGCCAGCTGTCTTCACCCTCCCCACCCCACCCCACACCCATCTTGCTTGCCAACTGTCCCTCTAACCCACTCTCCTCTGGTAGCCACGCCTTCTTTCAAATGTTAATAGCACTGCTTAGGATCCAGTTACACCAAGTGCTTGTTCTTCCTGTTCCTCCTACCCAGGAGACTGCCTGTGGTGCTAACATCTGATTGCTCTCTGAGGCCCTTCTTGTCATAACATTGTGATCAGGATTGCCATTTTCATTGGCAAAGGAAAGTTCCTTTTCCTGTGTCTGCGACATTATTGTCAGACTGAGGTCCCGGACATAGGTCCTATTCTGTCTGTCCTTCCACTGGTTACAGGAGAATAGGGACCTGAACCCCTTTCCCTTCAGGGCTCATAGCAGCCCTTCAACAAACACTTACTGAAGAAAAACATAAAAAGATGAATGAACGCATCACCATTTTAAAGTAAAATTTTCTATTGAATAGTAAATTCCAATTAAGAGATACTTTAAAAGTGCTATCTGCCTATTTTGAAGGACAGTAGAAGGAACAGGAGGCAAGATAGACTTAAGTTTCCATTTCCTCACCCATACAATGGGCAACATCCCTGATTTAAGGTTCTGTTATTGCTCTACAATGTGTGGAGTTAAATCTCAAGTGTGTTGACAAGCACTTTCCAGAATGCAGAGGCTTAACAGGAAAGGCTTGATTTTTCAAAGAGAGATAAAATGTCAGCACCCAAGAGCAAAAGGTGTAAAAAGGAGTGGTTCAAGACTCCCAGAGCAAGCTGAATGGAGGCCTTCCTCTCCTGTCAGACCCGGAAGGACGCTTCCCCTAACTCCTACATGTGCTGCAGGTCCGAAAACCCCTCCTCCTGGGGAGAAGAGCCACTCTGCAAAGACTTCAAGGGCTGCAGGTAAAGGTTTATCCCATCTTGGTCCATGATCAATAAAGAGGAATTCTGTAATGCTTTCAGCCAAATTACCCCAAAGCATCTGGATTCAGAAGTCCGTTGCAGAGCAGCCCAAAGGCCCCCTGGCACCTGGGAGGCCTGTGCGAGGCGGTGGCGTCCCTTGCTTTGCTGAGATCCTTTCTGGTGCTGTGGAAGCAGCTGGAGGTGCTGAAGGAGCAGTGGGGCTGGCTCAGGCTGCAAGGCCAGGACATCACTTCTGTCTCTCTGCACGAACAGTTCTCGGAGCTCTATGAGTGAGTGAGGCTGGGGTGCACGGGAACCTGGGGTTGGGCGACTTCCAGCCCCTTGCTCTGGAGGTGAGATCTGGTCCATGCATCCTGGGATGGCCAGCCCCACTGAGCCCGGTGGGCAATGTGTCTCTACAAACAGTGCTTTGCAGGAGAAGCTGGGTTCTGTTGGCTGCAGGGTCAGCCCTGGATCCCACTAGGCAACACCACACATCATTTACCCAGAGCTCTGTCCCTGGGGACTTGAGCTTCTAAAGTGTGCCCTCTGTATGGACGCTAAGCTTCTTAGCTCAGAGGATCCCAGGGGGCACTAGGTAGGGAAGTGCTGCTGCTGTGAATCCTCCCCACGCTCTGCCTCATTAGACTCCTGTTCTGAGTCTCTGAGAGCTTCCTGCATTGCAGCCAGAGATTTCATAGGACAGAGAGGAATCGTCAGACCTGGCCAGGATGACTCAGCTGGCAGGAAAGACACATTGCTCCTGCCACGTGTCCGTCACCAAACAGGCACTCACTAAGTACGCACCCACCGCCTTGCTGGGCCTTGCTAAGCACAGGAAGGTGGGATAGTCTGAATGGTGTGTCATAAATTATTCATTGTCAGCTTCCCTGGTTACTGGGGAATGAGAAGACTAGTCAATATTTTGGAAAATAAAGACTGAAATTAAAAGTACCCAATGGGAAATAGCCTCAAGATTTAACATTGACCAAGGGAGTAGTGAATTTACATGTTGATGTGTCTGTGATGAGTTGGGAGGTTTATACATGATGACAGGAAACAGAACTGAAAATAATTATTAGAGAATCTGAACGAGAGGAAAAAGTGTATTTTGTAACTTCGGTCTTTCTTTTTTTATAGAACTGACATTCTGTATCCGAGCATGAAAGCTATAGCTAGGAGGATGGGGCAAGAAGATGCATTTGAGGAGCTTATAATAAGGAATCAGTCTATTCTTCCCCCTGAAGGGGCCTCAGAAATTGAAATAAAGACTCAGCAGGTATGCAGAGCTCTTTTGAATTTGGCTTTGAAATTTTGCTTTATGGTATTAACAGATATACCCCAGTGGGGTGTTATTATTTTTCTAAGAAGTGAAGTGTAAATTGAAGGTTTGTAAATCATTGAACAGGCTTAGAGGGAACTAAGTATTTAAAGTCATGTGGGGCTTTGAATAAGCAAATAACTACCACTTAATGTCTCAGAACTATAAATCTAGATTTCCATATTTTTAATTTCCCCAAATTAAGATGTACCACCACAAAAAAAAAGAAAAGAAAAAAACAACGAAAGAAAATATAACCATTAGCATCTTAAACATAAAATCCAGCACATGGGTATCCCCCACAATACGCACAAGGTGGAAATGGATAAAATTGCTCATGTGATTGTTTTTCTGAGAATAAGACACCACCACTTTGCGCTAGCCCATTTGGTGTGTGTTTTAGATGATCTATATGGAGAGGAGGTTTTACCAAGTGTTTGTTCACCTGGGTCCTGGGACACAGGCTCCATGTGGTTGTGCTCATTGTAACAGAGGAGCACAGCCTCTAACAGTTTGGGTGTCAATGCCGAGATGCATTGATACTGAGATTCAAGGACAATTCAGAGCCTCCCCAGAGCATACGCGCGCGCACACACACACACACACACACACACACACACACACACACACCAGTCCCAAGGAACGTGTGCTCTGTGAGCATAATGCATAAAGTTAGTGGAACAGGGTTTTCTCTTAGTCGTGTATGGAGTTTTAAATCTTCTCACGAAATCCTCGTTGGTGCCTACATCAAGTTTCAGAGCTGAGGGCCTCTCGTATAATAATAGATCACAAAATCCCTGCTCACATTTAGAGACCCCAAAACATATGAGGTCACCTCAGACATCGAGCACTTTGCAATGTAGCAGAATTTGTTAGCAAACAGGGTTCTATTTTATTAGTCAGCATGTAGGCCAGGAAGAAAAAGTGCTGGTTTCCAAAGAGGTGTACAGACTCCCCCAAGAGTCCCCTCCCCCGACAGAAGCCCTAGGGGAGTCCAGACAGAAGCCCCTCCTCCTTCCGGGAGGGAGCAGCTGAAGGTCAGGACTAGCCCAAGGCCCTTCCGCAGGAGTGTCTTGGAAGCCTAGAGTAATCGAAGTGTGAAGACTGACTCTCAAACTGCTCACTCTAGCTTCAGAAACTGCTGGAAAATCTTGAAATTCATATGATCCAGGAGGTATTAAGACACGTTAACAGAGAGATCGCACTGGTTGTGTCAGAAAAGTCCAAGGAGCAGCCTACTCTCCCCACAGGTAAATTATTCTTGTCTCACAAATAGCATTTACTGTCCTCTCCTAATTATACAAGCAATCCATATGTCCACAGTCAGGGCAAAACAGTCTATAATGCCCAGAGAATGATACAAAAATTACTTAACATCCTGAACCAGAGAAAGTACTGTTAACACTTTCATATGTTTGCTTCCACTCAAAGGGCTTTCAACATTTGTTGTATGTCAACTGCAATAAGTGAAATTTAAAAATAAATAAATACATAGATATAAAACATCTGTTAACTTCAATCTCAACACAGCTTATTAACTGGAAACTGAAATAAAACTGAAATGAGGGAACACATAAAGTTTTTCTTATTCTATGTGTGCATGCATATATTACACATATACGGCATATACATGTAAAATGTTAGAAATGCATACATTTGGGTGGGAAGGCAATCTAATGCCAGGGTCACTTCACGGACACAGGATCAGGGCACTTGGAGTTCAATGCTCTTTGGGGACCATCTTGAAACTTCTAGTTTTAACGTAGAACTCTGGTTTTGTAAGTGGAATCCAGTGAGTAGATGGAGGGTGCACCCAGGGCTTGGAGCTCTGGCTAATACACAGTCCCACCTCCTGTTGCCTCCCCAGCTTGCTGGGAGGGCTTCTCAGCTGCCTGCTCCTCTGCTCTCTGTCACCCAGGGCACCTCTAAACTTCCCTTCACCGGCCCATCAGCAATCGCTGCAGTGGGGGCCTGAACCTGGTGAGGGTCAAGATAGGGTATGTATAGCTTGCAGTGTCTAAGGGATCCCAGGCTGACAGCACCACAGTGTGTTGGATAAGTGACTCAGTGGGGACAAGCCCTTCCCTGGGTCCCTAAAATCTCCCAGGGCAGAGGGTTGCCCATCTACAGTGGATTGGGGCAGAGGGGTCATGCCTGCCCCTGCTCCTGGCTAAGGCATGAAACCTCAGTTCTGTACCTGGTGAACTACATGCACCCAGTCACAGGACAGGGTCTCTGGGTGTCCATGACTGTCCAACTTGTCCTGCAAACATTCCCATGCCTGGACGCGCAATGTTAAAAGCAAATAAGAACATAATGGCAGATTGAGAGAGAGATACTGTGAAGAAAGGAAAACTCTGCATAGAGTACCTAAAACTGTACTTTTTTTTCTACTTTTTGAAGAGGAAGCCCTGTATTTTTATTTTATTTTTCAGTGGGTGCCCCAGATTACACAGCTGGTCCTATCTGAACTGTGGTATCTATTCCTAACTCCTACTCTCCTGTAGGAAAACCCACAACCTTTGAACTATGGAGGAGTTGTCTGACTGGCCAAATAATTTAGGTTTTCCTCTTGAGGCAGCCCCACAGATTGTAATGTTTATGAATAACCTCTGTCCTCACCTAAGCCCTTGTCATTTGATCACTGCTTCGAGTAGCTGGATCTGAAAGCAGGGCTCTGGGAAAAGGCTTTGCAGTGACAGGGCAAGCCACGCCCCCCTGGGCAGCTCTGAATGTCACCAGAGAGCTGAGTGTGGTTGAGCTCCAGTTACAGAACATTTAACAACACACAAAGCGCCTGCTGTTTGTGCTGCCTTGGTTGTATCCAGGTGGCTCCTGGGAGTAAAATCCACAAGCACGTGACAGGTGCAACCATCTGCAAGTTTCCGGGCTGTGGTCCTTATGAGACTAGGGGAGGACGAGTCTCTGCTCTGCAGCTGTGCGGTGTGTGCCCTGGGCAGGGTGCTGCTCAGCGGTGCTCGGAAAGGCCGTCAGGAGGGGCTGGTGGGAGTCAGGCAGAGGGGAGTGGTAGAGTTATTTTGAATGGTGGTGAGGCTGATATTCCCAAACCTTACTCTCGCTAGAGTACACTGGCCAATTCTAAAGTCTTGCTCAAATTCTGTACTCATGAAGCTTTTCAAATAAGAGCCAATGGTGAGGGTGTTTGGTTTTTGGTTTGGGTCTGTTCAGCATGACTTAACATGGAGGTCTGGGTCTCCTCTTGTACTGTCTTCCCCCCATTCAAGTGACAAGAGACCTCCCTGCCTGCTGGGGCGCTGTTCTGTACATTTCCTCAATCTAGTCTTCCCAAGATCTCTGTGAGCTGCTTCCGAAGAAGGTGATAAAAACCACCTCCTACTCATCTCAGCAGCAAGAAGCAGCCATAGTGGATGGGGCTTTCAACAGGGACCACATTTTCATGGGAGACCATCCTTTGTGGTCAAGGTTAGCTTGGGGCTAGGAGTTTCCCTAGAGCAGTGGTTCTCAACCTTTTTAATGCCGCGACCCTTTAATACAGTTCCTCATGTTGTGGTGACCCCCAACCATAAAATTATTTTCGTTGCTACTTCATAACTGTAATTTTGCTACTGTTATGAATCATAATGTAAATATCTGTGTTTTCTAATGGTCTTAGGCCACCCTGCTAGTGGTTCTCAATCTGTGGGTCTCAACAGTCACTCGCCCCACCCCCTTGCAATTTTGTGCACCAGGCCTCTATTAAGTAAATAAATAATCTAGTCAAATCTGATAAGAAGTCAGACAAAAGGATTAAAAGGTCAAGGGAACTATGAAAATGTGGGTTGAGATTCACTCTTACTGTTGATGGACCTCATTCTAAGTACATCATGCTTTGCAGTGTTAGCCGGTGACTGTATTGTAGGTAGTTAGAAATATTAGAAATACATAAACATAAATATGTTAAAGGTGAGTGGGTAAAAAGGTTTGACTTGAGAAAAGCACAATCAAAATACTTACCTGTAGGAGTGCATGTTCCAGGCCAGCATGCCCCCAGCAGTGTGCCCTGGAACATAAGTTGCTCAACATGTTAATGCAAACGTTCTCCCAACCACCCTCCACTAACAGACTCAGTGTTGCCTGAAGCTTCCCATTCCCTTGGTAACACAAGCAGGCAAAGTACTTACTAAGCAGTTTGGGGGTTGCATATGTTCACCTAGCATCGTTGATCATTGTTTGCTCCAAACCTGGCTATGCTACTTTTACTGGTCATTTCGGTTGAGTAATTTAATTCCGCATTATGTAACCCAATGAGATAGGAATACAAAAAGAAAGAGATCTGTTCTATAGAAACTAAGCTGAAATGGATAAATTATGGCACATCCAATCAATGGAATATTCTTCAACACTAAAAAGAAAGGACCTAGCAAGCCACAAAAAGACACAGAGGAGCTTAAATGCATATAACTAAGTCAAAGAAGCCAACCTGGAAAGGCTGCCTTGCTGTATGATTCCAACCATATGACTTTCAACCATATGGAGACATTAAAAAGATCAGTGGTTGCCAGGGGTTTAGAGAGGAGAGAAAGAGAAATAGGTAGAGCACGGAGGGTTTTTAGGGCCTTGAGACTACTCTGTATGACACCGCAGTGGTGCATACATGTCATTATCCATTTGTCAAACCCATAGTTTCTGAACCCTAATGGAAACTATGGACTTTGGATGATAATATGTCAGTGTAGTTCATCTGTTGTAGCAGATGTACCACCATGGAGTGGGATGTTGATAGGGAGGGAGGCTGTGTGTTGATGGTGGGGCAGGAGATATATAGGAACTCTCTGTACTGTCTGCTCAGTTTTTCTGTGAGCATGATGCATGTGGATTGTTTTTACGCTCCTTAAGTTTTCTCTCCTTAAAAGGAAAGAAACAAACTAAAAAGAGAACACTAGAGATTGTAGACCATGCATGTATATTATGGTTTATAGAAGAAAGATGGTACAGAACTCCAGTGAGTGGGTATGTACAAAGAAAAGGCCTGGGCTTTATGTTAGAAGATTGGCAAATGTTTGCATATTTGTGTATTTTTAAGTTAAATAAGATGTTTAAGCCGGGACCGGTTTGGCTCAGTGGATAGAGCATTGGACTGCAGACTGAAAGGTCCCGGGTTCGATTCCGGACAAGGGCATGTACCTTGGTTGCGGGCACATCCCCAGTAGGGGGTGTGCAAGAGACAGCTGATCAATGATTCTCTCTCATCGATGTTTCTGACTCTCTATCCCTCTCTCTTCCTCTCTGTGAAAAATCAATAAAATATATATTTTTAAAAAGATGTTTAAGATAGTTCATGGCATGTTTTAAGCATTCTCTGGTTTAACATACTTCTTTTGATTAACTAATAAACTCTTAGACTTAATTGCTTTAGATAGAGGATTTCTACCATATTTTGCAGGAGTTGAGAGAAAAAGATTTTGTTTGTTTTTTGTCAAAATAAGTTTGAGAAATTTGGAGTAATCTTTAAAATATTTCTTTACTCCAAACCTTCTTAGAGACTTTACTGTCCTACTGTCAATTATAAATCTCCAGGAGACAGATAGGGTAGGAAATGCTCTTTATTTATTTTTTTAAATATATATTTCTTTATTGATTTCAGAGAGGAAGAGAGAGAGATAGAAACATCAATGGTGAGTGAGAATCATTGATTGGCTGCCTCCTGCATGCTCCCCACTGAGGATTGAACCTGCAACCCAGGCATGTGCCCTTGGCTGGAATCGAACCTGGGACCCGTCAGTCTGCAGGCCGACACTCTATCCACTGAGCCAAACCAGCAAGGGCAGAAAATGCTCTTTAAATCTATCTAACCACTGAATCCTTTTCTCCCCCTTGGGAATATCTGTCATCTACTCAATGAACTAGTGTTCTGGGGAGCAGTTTGAGAAACACAGGAGTACAAAATGCATACATATACTTGAGGCAACAAGGTTTTCAACCTGCCCACTTTTTTGGGGGGGGGGGCCCTCTGCCATGTCGGGAGAACAACTTTGATTGAAAGTTGTGTGCCTTTAAGTTTCTGTCTGCCTTGGCTTAGGACCCAGGTGCCACGCAGGCACAGCAGCTGGTGGCTGTGTTAGGAGAAGTGAAAAACTAGCAAATAAAGAGGCCCTTCCTAGAGGGCGGAGTCTATTGGGGAGGGAAGGGGTGCAGTTGTGTTCAGAGAGGGAGAGAGGGGAAGTGGTTTGGCCACCAGGAAGTCAAAGTTTCCTCCTGTCCAAGGACATGGGAACAGAGTGAGAGGAAAGAACAAACTCTCACTTAGCCCCCAGTGTGCTGTCTCCCGCCTACCATCATGCTTCTGTCAAAAACTGCTTCATCTTAAAGAAGCCATGACCACACACACACTGAAAATGAGACACGTGCAGAGACTGCCAACTCCACTTGGCCAGGAATGACTTCTCCTGGATGAATTCTACTCTCCCTGGCTTTCCCTGACTCCTGCCTTCAGATGTAAATGCATGTCTAAACTTGAACTCACGAGTAGGACGTGAAGATCTCCCAGCACGCAGGGAAAATGCTTCCCCTGCAGCTAAGCCCGGAGCTAAAGCCAAACCAGTTCTGCGGGTGTTTGGCAGGTGATGGTCCCCAAACAGGAAGTGTGTGATGGATGTGGTTCCTCACGAGGCTTCTCCGAGCCAGAGACCTGCCCCTAAAGTATCCTGAGAAAAGTATCCAATTTCTTGTCTAAAATATGCATAAACTCTGAATTGTCGAAGTTTATATTTATAAACGTCTTAAACATCTTAAGAAGTGAGAAAATCTAGGCACATTAATCTTTGGGTTTTCCACTTCAGTTTTGCTAGGACAGTGATGATATGCCTACCACCTTTGTTGCCCTAAAGGAAAAGCAACATCATTATGATGGAAAGTACATAACTGTAAAAGAAAATGGAATCCAATTTCAAAAACAGGACCCCACCTCCCAATAAATAACATAATAAGTGCAAATACCAGAGGCCCCTGCTGTCATATTCACATTTCTGGGAAGATTGTGCTGGATGCTTCCTCTTATGTGCAGTGAGTCTCCTGTCAGAAAAAATGAAAGTGTGAGTCAGAAACTTCATCTGAAACTTGGAAGAGCCAGCTAGAGGCAGGGGGTGGCTCTGTGTGTGCTCTTGCTGATGGTCAGCACCCCCAACAAAAAGGGGAGTGGGATGGGGCTTGGCTCCAGACTCTGACCCTTAGGTCTCTCTTTATTTCTAGCACCCCCAGGGCCATGCACAAGGAAATGAGCCCTACCTACCCGCACAACTAACACACACATGTGTTCTTCTACATGCACGTTAAGGAGTGTTGACGTACTTCCATGGTTCTGGCATTGTCATATTATTTTAAATTTTATTTTATTTGTTTAATCTGGTTCAAAATGATATTAAAAATGTATATTTAGAAGTCATGTTGCCACCACTGACCCTTTTCTACCACCCTCTATATAACCACACTTTTAATTAGCTTTTAATATATCCTTTCAAGGCTGTTATTACGCATATGCTAATTCATTCCTTCATTCAATACCTATTTACCGAGCACACACTATGTTCTAGGCATCTATATTTTAGACACTGTTTGCATTCTTACTGTCATGGAGCAAAAAATCCTTACCCTAATGGAGTTTATCATCTAGATAATAAGCAATAAACATCCTCCTATATAATAAAGGGCTAATATGTAAATTGTCTCCTCTGGAATTTGACCAACCGGGAGTTCGACCACTCACTATGACATGCACTGACCACCAAGTGGCAGCACAGAACAAAGGAAGCCCACAGCCAGCAGCTGGAGAAAAGGAGGCTCCAGCTGGCGGCCATCAGCCACGAGGGACCTTACCCATGAACCCTACCTGGGCCTCTAGTAAGAAATAAGAAGACAATGGAATAAGGAGGATGGGACTGTGGAGGTTTGATGGGGCACATCAAACAGTCCATATGAAGCCCCTGAGCAGAGCATGCCGACCACACATTTATGGAACACCAAAGACCCAAATGTGACTGGAAAGGAAAGACTGAGGGGGAATAGTAGGAGATGAAGTGAGAAAGGACGAGTGAAAAGAGAACAGATCATGCAGGGCCTTGCAGTGTTTACTCTGTGTTTACTCTGGATGTGATGGGGAGCCGGCCCACGGCTTTGAGGGACATGATCTGACTTACATTTAACAGAATCTCTTTGGCTCCTGTTTTAAGAGGGGGCAGTGAAGGAAGAAAGGGTGGGATAAGGGAGAGGCTGGTTGGGAGGCTATTGCAATAATTCAAGCAAGGTGACTCAAACAAGGTTGGAGCAGTGGAAATATTAAGTGGCCAGATTCTGGGTATGTTTTTGAAGTAGTCATTAATGGGTTGAGTATTGAGTATGGGAGAAAGAGGAGAACCCATGTTAACTCCAAGATTTTTGACCTGAGCTATTGGAGAAAATAGAATTGCCATCAATTGAGATGGCAAGTTGGAGGGAGAGAGGGAAGATCAGGAATTTAATCACAAGAGAAATGTGAAGTGCTTTTTAGACATCCAAGGAGAGATGCCAAGTGGGAGTGAGATCTGAGTTTGAGGGTTGTCAGCATACGGATATTATTTAGCCATGAGACTAGATGGGATATCCAAGGGAGTGAGTGTAGATAGAAAAACAGGTTGACTCAGGGATGAGTCCTAAGACACTCTAACGTCAAGGGCTGGGAGTGGGGAGGGGAAAAGGAGAACCAATAAAAGGGATCTGGAAGGAACAAACAGTGAGGTAGAGGAAAACTAGGACAGAGTAGTGTCCCAACGTCTAGTGACGGACATTTCTCAAGCACAAGGAAGTGAAAAATTGTGTGAAATGTTGCTGGTAGTCAAGTAAAACCACTGGCATTAGCCATTGTGATCATGTTAGTGCTTATGGCAAAAGCAATTTCACTGGTGTGGGGCACCAAGGATTTGGGTGAGTGAGTTTAAAAAGGATTTTGAGAAAAGTCACACACAGTAAGGGTTGACCTCTCTTTCTGAGAGTTTTGCTAAAAAGGGAGCAAAGAGATGAGATAATGGCTGACAGGGGAAGTGGGGACTAGAAAAGGATTTTTATGAGGTGGGAAAAATGATGTGTGCTATTTTGAGTGAGAGGTCCAGGAAAAAGGGGAGAAGTGATGATATTGGAGAACGGCAAATTTTTGGAGCAATGACATTGAATAGGCTTGAGGAGATATTCTCCCACTTAATTATATTTATCATATTTTTCTCATAAAAGCATTTTATATCCACTGTCCTGCAAATTGAATATTTCACTTAACAACCGATGCTTCTTTTCATATCAGTACATGGAGAAGGTCCTTTCTTTCTTACAGCTTCATACTATTCCCCTTGAAGGATACTCTACAGTTTAGGTTTTCTTTCCAAGGTTTTGCTGTCCTAAGCAATGCTTTTGTGAGTAACTGTGTACATGCTGCATCTCATTAGCTGACACTAATTGTGGCTTCAATCTAGGAACTAAAGTTTATAGTCTGTTCACTCTCAGCATTTCTAACCTATGACTCTTTTTTTTTATTTCTTTTGGATTTCCTCCCATTTTTTTATTTTTTATTTTTATTTTTTTTATTGATTTCAGAGAGGGAGAGAGAGAAATAATGATGAGGGAATCATGGATGGGCTGCCTCTTGCACGCCCCCCCCACTGGGGATTGAGCCACAGCCAGGGCATGTGCCCTGACCGGAATCGAACTGCGACCTCCTGGTTCAGAGGTGGATGCTCAACCACCAAGCCACACTTGGTGGCTCCTCTCATTTTTTAAAATTAACTCTATATTTAAATTAATTTTGCCTGTAACACCAGGAATATACTGAACTATGTACATATGATAGCTCTTCATTTATTTCTGATGATTGTGTTAGACCAAATAATTGTTCAGATACATATAGGCACTTAGTGGCGTCATGCAGGACCAATAATATTTGACCCAGGGTTTTTATGGTAGCAATATTGTTCACTGTCTTCAGAGGCACTTTTCTGAATCTTTTCATTAGGGTCTCGTTAGGCATCTTCTTTATTTCCATGTTCTGAAAGATCCTGTGTCCCCAACCACCTCCTTCCCTCCCCCACTTCCCCACTAAGTTTTCATGTATTTGGAAATGACAGCTAGCTGTGGCCATGCTGTCTCAGAGAGCTGCCATTTCATAGTCGTTAACTATTTGTATCACAATACTAATAGCGGTCTGTTTCCTCCCCTAGACCTTTGGAAACATCAAGTCATGAAAGAAAACTTTTCAGTTATCAGACCACAAATAGTTGAAAAATTTATGCAGAGATTAATGGAGAATTACCAGGAAGGTGGACTAGAGGTATGTATTAAAAAGTAGTCATTCTGTACTGTGTGTGTGTTTAACATAAATCCAAAGAAGGAAGACTTTCCCTTAAACCAGTGATTTTCAACCACTGTGCCACAAGAATTTTTTAAATATGCAATACCTAACTCTTTAGTCAGCGGCACTGACCTTTTTACTCTTAGATTGTCAAATTAAAAAAATGACAACAGCCAACGCAACAATAAAAATCTGTGAATGAGTCAAAATTATATCTATTTTTTTTGTCAGATTGGCAAAAAACATACTGTATTTTTGGTGTGCTGTAGAATTTTAGTAATTAGTTTATGTGTGCCATGAGATGACAAAGGTTGAAAATTGTTCTATAAACACAACTCCTAATGCTTTCCTTGCTCCCTTAGGACAAAGATATGAATACTGAGCCTAAACGCAAAGTAGTAATCACTCTAATTTTGGAAAAAGACTGATTTCTAACAATGATGGGAGAGAAATTAGAATATTCATGTTGGTTAATAACCTTGGAGTTTACTTATGAATGAGTTATTTTTAGCAACATTTCCCATTATTGTTTTTTTAGTATAGAATATTTAAAGAGAGAAACCAAAATAGCCTATAATGTCACTCAAAAGTATTTTTTAAATGTACAACATTGGGAGGGAGGGACTTAGCCCAGAAAGGTAACATTTTTATCGCTCCTTAACTCCCCATCTCATTTCCTCTCCACACAGGAAACTAGTGTCAAAAATGTTTTCTGTGTATACATACTTGAATCCATAACAACTCTGTATAGTATATGCAACACACATATACACAGTTCATAGAGTCTGAACCCTTACTCTTGACATCAAGTGACTTTCTAAATCAAAGGACTCCACTAAAAAGTCAGGAGTATATGTGGGTAGTAAGCCTTAACAGAGCTTTTAGGATCATTAACAAATTAAACATATGCACATTTTTTAAAACTTGGCTTAGCAAAAGGTATTCTATTGTTACATGACAGTGTTTTCTCCGAAATTACATTTTTAAGCTCTTCAAATGTTTTCCATAATTTTATAACCACTTCAGTTCTCAATCATAAGGTGGAGAATTCCCAAGCTTGGTGGGGGATACACTTTTCCTCAGAACTTGATGACTTACACAGATTTGTTTCAAGTTTTCAATGATACCCAAGTGGGACACTGTCTATTGTGATGAGGGATGAAGTGGCTCTTTCTGGGTCCCTGCACCTCAGAGGTTCTCAACCACAGGCACAGAGATGGTGAGGGTGGGACTCAGAAAAACCAGTCCCAAACGGTGTGGCTGCCCTGGCCCGTGTGACTCAGTTGGTTGGGCATCTTCCTGTGCACCGAATGGTTGCCGGGCAGATTCTTAGGCCACATGCTCAGGTTGTGGAATCAATCCCCAGCAGGGGGCATGGAGGAGGTGGCCAATGGATGCCTTGCTCTCACATAGATGTTTCTGTCTTTCCTCCTCCCTTCCTCTCTCTAAAAATCAATTTAAAAATCTTTTTCTAAAAAATTGTGCATCTCCTTACAAAGGAAGGAAATTCTGACACATGCTTCATCATGATGAACCTTGAAGACCTTATGCTAAGTAAAATAAGCCAGTCACAAAAACACAAATGCTGCATGATTCCACTTATATGAGGTACTGGGAGGAGTCAAATTTATGGGCAGGAAGTCGAAGGGTGGTTGTCAGCAGCCAGGGGGGAGGAGGAAGAGGGAGTTAGTGCAGTAGGTACAGTTTCTGTTTTGCAAGATGAAGTGTTCTAGAGATTGATTTCACAACAGTATGAATGTACTTAATGTCACTGAAATATATACTGGAAAACAGCTAAAATGGCAAATTTTATGAAGAAAACAAAAGACTCAAGATCTGCCTGTCTATATACTTCACCCAACACTGAAGACAGGATATCTAGGAAAGAAATGCTGGCACTTGGCAAACCCATATCAGGTACAACTGAAACTCAGGGCCCACTGAAGAGACTGGTATCTGCCTGCCGGTGTCTTGGAATAACAGGACCCCAGGATGCGAGGTCCTTACAAAGTCTGTGCCTGATAAATAAAAATAAAAAGAAGAGAAAAAAGAAAAAAAGGAAAAAAAAGAAAAAAAAGTCTGGTGAGCTTCTGGCTTCTTCTGGATCATCTGCAGTGACTGGGACTCACTCTTCCAGCTCCTCCCTCTCTCCCGGTGCCTGGGCGCTCTTGTTCCAGGCGGCTCTTACTGAGCTAGATTTGGCCATCACCATCTCCACTGTGGATCCTGGGACGCCACGGGTCATGGTTCTGACGCCTCACAACAAGCCTTAGGTACTTGAGAGCAGGTAGGTCAGTCAGAGAAGCTCCGTGAGCACCATTGCTAACACGTGTGAAGCCTCTAAAGTTACAACCGGGGCCTGGACCAGGAGGACAAACCAGACAGGTGGTGGAGAACCAACTATCACCCCTTCCGCCTGAAGATGCCTGCCCAGTGCCATTGCATATGAACTGGAAAATGGTGCAGGGGCCAGGCTCCCTCACCTGGTCTCTGTGAAGATCTCCGACGACAAGAGCACAGGACATGGAGGGCCTCTGCCCAGCCTTCTCTGCTTCAGACTGACCACTTCACTTCCTTCATCATTTACCTGAGCCCCCACATCCTGATCAGCCTCCTCTAAATTCAAGGTTGTCTGTCCAGTGAAGGGTGCCCTTGACCTGGGTTATGATTGATTAATGCCCTTGTGTGTCGGGTTGCAGCCAGCCATGCCAAGGCTAACCAGTTACTGGAAACCCACACATTGCTTTTAGGCATCCTGCAGCTGCCACGTGGCTAGCTTTGTTCTCGTTCACTTTGTACCTTTTGGACTCTTTAAAAACCTGGGTTTTTATCATCCAGGATACACCCTCTTTCTACCTGCCCTTGCTGTTCTCTTTCAAGTCGTTTAACAGCAGTGTGTGACAGGACAGGCCCCAAGCCCTGTGCTGCCCACTCTGGTCCCCTCCAGGATCACTGGGCTCTCTGGGCACAGGCTGTCAGTGGCCAGAAGCCCATGCAATCGTACTGTTCTCCCTGTGCCCAAGGATGCAGAAGAAACCTTCTCAGATATCCTGCTGAAATTCAAATATCTGCTGCTTCCTGAGGTTAGTCTGATCTGACTTTTCTTGAACCCACGTAGGCTTCTAGTAATCTTTGCTTCCTTCCCCAGAGTCTGAAAACCAGACTTTCACAATGAATTCTAACATCTTGCCCAAATGTTATACCAAACACCTTGGCTTGAAGTCAGAGACAACCCTCTATTGCAAATCAGAGCAACTAGCGTCTATTTTGTGGGTTCCAGAACCATTTCCATTTATATGCCAAGTCACTCACTCATTCAGCAAGTGTTTAGAGATATATTTTTTCCAGGCACTTTATTAACGCTATCAAGGCAAAAGATACAATCCTGTCCCCCAAAAGCTTATTGAAACAGATATGTGAACCGAATTTTTCTCTTTCCCTCTACCTTTCCCTTCTTCTCTTTCTAAAAATCTATAAAAAGTTAAAAAATAGAAAGAAACAAGTTACTCTGAGAGCTCAGAGAAGGATTGTGCCAACAGAAGCCACATAGGCTGTCGTCCCACAACAGATGCTGCTGAGGTAGCGCAAACGCTGCTCTGGAAGGCTGAGTACACAGGCAGCAGAACCCAATCCACCTGGAGAGAGGGGCTGCCGGGAGCTTCCTGGACCTCTCTCACCTGTCAGTCACAGCTTCCTGCCTGCCCCACTCCAGACATGCTCCCCGTTCCAGGTGGCCACTGCAAAGGCTCTGGCTGGGCCCTTCCCACCTCCTCTGCCTTCCCGCCATCCCCTCTCTGCCAGCCTCTGAGCTGCTCTTCCAGCCCAGTCTTCTGAGGCCTCAGCAGAGCCACTGAGGGAAGGAAGCAACACAACTTCTCCAGCCTCCGGGGATGCTCATGGCAAGTCCTGGCCATTCCCACCTCTTTGGTGTAACAGACTCACCCAAGGGCTCCCCATCCTTGCTGGGTAGAATGCCACGCTGGCCAAGAGGAGATGGCAGAGAGCCACTGTGGCTCAAGTCTGCGTTTGTGTTTAGTTGGGCTCCTGTGTCTGCAGTGGCTGTGGTGGTGTCAGTGTGAGAAGTGATTGCCCTGCTAAAGAGCTGTTGAAGGCCCTGCTGGTACATCCAATCCCAGCACTGCAGGCTGACTCCAAGCGCTGGGCCCAGCTCACCTGGATGGGATGGGGCCACTGGCCACACCTTGCTGACTGCCAATGTGGTCTCAAGGCTTAAGGCGTTCACTCCACTCGGTCTAGGGCGTGTTTCCTTGTGACTACTAAATTCACATAGCCTTGGCCCTTTCACCACAGAAAGGTCAAGGTCCCAGGGATGGTGGCTTGGTTCCCTTCGCCTTGGTGTCAGCAGCTAACTCTGGCTCACTTTCCAGGGGCAGGATGGATCGCCTCTACCCCCACTCTGCAAGGGGTCCCCTGAGGAGGCTCTAGAGTAGGGGTGTCGAACTCAATCAGAGAAGGGGCCAAAATCTAAAATCCAGCCTAAATCGCGGGCCGAATGGTTTACTGAACAGTCATAAACTGTCATTGTGATGGAAACGCAGCGGAGTGCAGTGATGACAGCGCGGTGTGGGCCACATTGCAAGGCGTGGCAGGACGGATTTGGCCCGTGGGCCAAATCCTTGATAGCATGTGAGTTGGTTAACAGCACTGTTAAGGAAAAGATTGTTCCACTCATTTTAAATTCACATTTCTGGTTAACATTGTCAGTTTATGACTGTTCAGTAAACCATTCGGCCCGCGATTTAGGCTGGATTTTAGATTTTGGCCCCTTCTCTGATTGAGTTAGACACCTCTACTCTAGAGAGTGAGTGTGGGAGGTTGAGTGCCCTCGCTTGAGTCCCTAGCTCCTTCTCATGAAATCGCCCATGAGCAGAGGTTTCCATGCACTGTGGCCATTCTGTGTCAGTTGATAACCTTTTCAAAAGCTTTCTATCTTCTCATTAGTATACATTCTATTCATATGTGCTTTATATATAATTATTTCAGTTTTATGTACATTTTATCATAGTATTAGAAAATAGGAATATGATGTGTTAGAAAATATACACATCATTTTACCCTCTATTGATAATCACTATTATTATTTTGGCGTATTTCCTTCCAAACTTTATAACATTTTTAAAAATATATTTTTATTGGTTTCAGAGAGGAAGGGAGAGATAGAAACATCAATGATGAGAGAGAATTATTGATCAGCTGCCTCCTGCATGCCCCAAACTGGGGATCAAGCCCGCCTTCTGGGCATGTGCCCTTCACGGGAATGGAACCTGGGACCATGCAGTCCAATCTGACGCTCTATCCACTAAGCCAAACCAGCTAGAGCTATAACATTTTTTCATTCATGTACTTTTTAATAAAATATAATTACTCTATATGCCCTTTTGTTACAGTGTGCTTTCCCCTTGACTGTGGGTTATAAATATGTCTCTTTGTCAGTAAACATATGTCCACAGCACGATTTTGGTGGCTGTTTTGTATTCATCAGATTGATGGGTGAGATGAAGTCTACCTGTTTCCCATTATTAGGTACTTTAGATTGTTTCTGTTTTTCTTTTATGCTAGAGAGGCTACTACAAACAACCTCTGCTTACCTACATTTTTGTGTGTAACGTTTATTCCTTAAAGATAAGTGGCTAGAGGAGGAGTTATTAGGTCAAAGGGCACAAACATTTTTAAAATGTTTCGTAGATACTGCTAGTCTGCCCTCCAAAACACCACCAATTTCCCTTCCCGTCAGCAGTGGTGAGCAGTCCACTCTCCTCACGCCATCAGTCTGGGGTTTATTACTGTTTGCCATGTCAGCTAGTTTGCCTCAGTCACTTGCCTTGGCAAAGCCTGCCTGACTTCCTCCGGAGGTCCATGGGGGCAATGATAGGATGGTGTCCTGAGCCTCACCCGGGCAATTGAACCAGAGCCAGGGGACCTCCCCAGGCTGGAGGACAGCCTGGTTTCTGCAGCAGGCTGCCCGCGAGCCCGGAGCCCTCCAGGCCCTGGAAGCGTCACAGACAACGCTCCTGTAGCGTGAAGGCTGACCCTGCCTCGGAGAGCGGGCCCCCAAAAACCCTCAGATACACACAGACACACTCACTGACACTCCTAGAGGGACACACCCAGACACAGAGGCACTGATACAGAGAGAGATAGACAGAGAGAAACAGACACACACTCACACGTCCTCAAATGCACACAGACGCATCACTGATGTAGACACACATAAGCACTCCCATAGACATACGGGCCCTAGTCAGGTACGTCTGTCCACCCTGCCACACACTGGATCCCGCTTCTCCCCAGAGCCAGAATGGAAGCCTCCCTTGGAGGGGTGGACATTTCCTCTGTTCCTAATGGCCGCCCCCTCAGAAGGGTGCCCAGTCTTTTGGAAAGAGGGAGGGAATGGACTGCTCCGAGAGTGAAGAGTAGGCCCTTCAGCCAGAGGAAGAGGGACTGCCAGATGCATCATCCTTCAGAGGGCCCTCTGGCTTTTGTCCAGCCCCTCCCTTCCCCAGAGTGAAAAATCCACACAGCCGGGGGACATGCACTCAGAGCCCCGGCCTTCCTTCCAGACCACACGCAAGTGCCTGGGACCCTGGAGCTCCCTGAGTCCAGGGCTTCTTCCCCAGACCATCCTCCCCAGAGGGAGAGAGGACCTCACTGCCAGCGCATGCACCTGGCCTGAGGGGTGGTCCGGGGCAGCTGTGTATGGGCGTGGAGGGCTGGATTGTCTGCTTCCAGGCAAGGGTCCTCTGCAGTGTGATGGGAGGCCGGAAGGAGAAGAGATGGGGGGTCGTTACTGTAAACTTGGGTGGGGGTATCTCCCCACAGATCACCACATTTCAGCATAGAACTCAGAGGAGTCCAAGAATGATAAATCCAAGCGTTGCCTCCCAAATCATTTTTGATAGTCTATTTTCCAAAGTTGGAGAATTAAATATTTTTATTTCAATGGTTTGTTAGTTTGACGTATAACTTCTAAATATTCAGTGTACTTACACATATGGTACGTGGGCTTCCACTTGTATTCTTGTCCCTGGCCCTGCGCGTCTTGAGAGCAGACCTGAAAGAGAGGCGAGAGCTGGCGCTTTTTGAAGGAGGAGAAAGGGAAATGGCTCAGGGAGCCCAGGCAGCCGAACCATGAGCCCGGGCATGATGAGGCTGCTCTGCTGATCACGTGATCCTTTACAGATCACGTTCAGGAAAGACCACCTGGAGGCCTGTCTCCTTGCTCTGGGGTGTGATGTGATGGCAAGGGAACGCAGCAACTTCGAGAGCTACCCCATGTGTTACGAGCATGTGCTGGAACATGTGAGGCTGAAGCTCTGTCAGAAGGAGCAGGTATGTCGCCCAAGACCAGAAGCAATGGGGAAGGTGGAGGAAGGGAGGCCCAGGATCACTCTGAAGAAGAAAGTAAGACAGAGGGTGGGGAGAGGTGTTTTTATGTAAGAACTCAGGGTGGATGGCACGCTCCAAATTTCTCTTCTCGTTGGCTCATTTTTCTCCTGCTGGTATTCTCAGCCACAAAGGGGATGGCCCCAGCAAGAGGGGGTTGTGTGGGTTGGAGGTGTCCAGTGGGGAATATGATAAGAGGTGAGCAACTAAGGAGCTGGCCCCCAGGGACGAGGCATAGCTGACCTTCCCACCCTGGACAAACACAAGGCGCCTCGTGCTGTTCTGGTCCAGCAGAGAAGCCAGGATCCTTGAGTCAATGCATCTTCAGGACGCACATCATGGGAATCATGACGAGGCTTCCTTAAAATGAGGCCCCAAGAATCATTTCTTCTGTCCTATCTAGATTGCACTCTTTTTGAAATGGGTTGCATTGGAGGTTCAGTGTAATTTTAGTGTATACCTAAAAAAAAAAAAGTGCAATGGTCTGAACAACGGAAGCATTAAAATATCAAATAATGAGTCTTGGCTTTGGTCCCCCGCGTGGCTGATCCCCTCGGCTGAGTCCTCTGTGTCAGTGTGGACACCTGCGAGTGGGTGCTGGCTTTTGATGCTGGACTGGGCATCCTGGCTCTGAGTGGGGTCCGAGGATCTAAATGAAGCTCCAGGAACACAAATCGGAAGTGTCTGGAGCTTGTGGTACTGAACTGTGCCAGCGTTGGAAGAAAACGTGTTTGAGTTTACTCGCGCACTGCTTTCTTCTCTTCAGGAATTGGATATTTTAAGAAGAAGTCAGAGTCCACCTGAAGATAATGCCGGTCTGGTAGGTTGGTTATGACTAAAAAGTTTCTCTCCTCCATTTCTCAATTCTGCAATCCCAGCAGTAGCCACGCCCGGGACTCCCAATGAGGGTGGGCTGCAGAAACACCCAAGGGCTGGCGTTCACTTTTTAAGCAATGTGGGCTTTTTGTTTGTTTTATTCGGTATTTTTTGTGTTTGTTTGTTTTTTTTGTTTTTTTTATTTTTTCCTTTTTGTTGTTACTTTCGCGTTTGGGAGAGAAGGGTTGTTTGTTTTCTTTTGAGGCCAGTGAAGGTGCAATTCCAAAGAAGGAGAGGTATTTAGGCTGAAATGTCCAGGGAAGGCCAGTGTGGACATGGAGGCCAAGATAGTTGAAATCTCTCCTCCAAATGAAAAGCAGTTAACTGGTGTATCTTCTGGGGCTGTTCATTCAGCAGCCTTTTACTGAACACCGACTGTGTCTGGTACTGTTCTCTGACCCTCCCACCCACCCAGATCCTCCCACCCACGTTTGCACGACAGGACACTCACCTTCTCCACACTGGAGTGGCCGCGTGGAGTTCCCAAACCATCTTCCGTTCAAAGCGGGTGTTTCTGCCGCTAGGTTGCAGAGCTCAGCCACGACATGATCATGGAAATCACTGCTCTGAGAGCCCGACTCGCGGACTTGGAAGAGGGGAATCTGAACCTCGAAAAGCAAATCAGAAAAGAAGTGCAAGAAGAATATGAAGATTTGGTCAAAACGTTGTTCACGGGTTGTTTACAGATGAAAGTAAGTGACCTGGGTCGGACACCAGGGCAGCCCTGTGGGGAGCGGGTACAGCTGACCCCACGGGGGCTGCACCCGGAACTATTGAGACGACAGGATGGTCATGAGAATCCTCCAGCTCAGCTTTCTCTACAGAGAACGAATCAGCGATGGGTTGTCGTTATTTTACCAGAACAGACACTGAGCTTTAGGTAAATTAGAAATTTTCTCTTTTCCTCACGCTCCTGCCAGATGAGGGAAGAAGTGGGGGGGGAGTCTTCTCCAATGTCTGTTAAGTGTGAGCATCCAAACATCAGAGGACATGCCCTCGGGCCCAGCCAGACCCCAGGGGAGGTAGCAGCAGGCACCTTCAGAAAGCTTGCTGGGCAGATTCAGAATCTGGATCGTCTTTCGAGATCTTTCCAGCCCTCAAAATGCCCACCAGCCTTTCGCTACCATCGGTATCAGGGAGCGGCTGGCCCGTGGGTGAGGCCCGCTGGGAGAGGAGTGATGGGTGCCCGTGTGCTCACAGCGCTGAGGAGGCCTGTCACCGTCTCCTGACGCCTGAGCAGCTGTAGATGGAGGCCTGCGTGCCTAAGCGGGTTGTCGCAGAGCCTGGGCCAGCTGTCCCACGGTACAAAGTTCAGTTCAAACCCACCGCCCTCCAGTCCACTGCCCCCCTCCCCGGAGCCATCAGACATTCTCAGAGCCAGCCCCAGCAGGTCCTTACCTATCTCTCCGGGGAGCCCAGCGCTGCCTGTCCCCCACTTATTACACTGAGAGGAGCTTCTACGGATGCTCCACCCTGGCCTGGTCATTCCAGAGAGGGTAGGGAATCCCTCTGACTTGTGAAGGGCCCACAGGAGTACCAGTGCTTGCAAGTATTAAAGGATCAAAGCCAAAATGCGTGGGCCTGACATTGCAGGGGAGGGGTGAGCAGACGGTGATGGCTGGAATCCGCTAAGCCATCTTCCGAGTGTGAAATTGTTGAAAATGCCTTTTAAGTTCTTTGTAGCTTCTGCCCAATTCCTAGACAGAAAGTGGATTCAGTGCTTCTCCCAGGCTAAACTAGTTCTATGAGCCCTCCCCCACTCCCCAAATTCTGCCATCGGGTTGACTCGGCAGAATCTGACCTGATAAAACACTGTGGATTAGTCACTGACGGGGAAGTCCCTGCTCCACCCCAAGGTCTCAAGAAGGTGGTGAAGCTTTGTGGTGTGGCCAGCAGCCGGGCTCCCTGTGTGGCTCCCAGCTGGGCACTCTCCTCCTACCGTCCTCTCCAGGGAAGGGGTTCAAAGGTGAGAAGACTCCCCCCTCTCACCTTTAACTGAAAAGCCTTGGGTTACCAGTGATCCAGTCACTTCACCATAAGCTGTTCTGAACAGGCTGCTTATTGGTGAGATTTCTGCTGGAGCCTCACTAGGAAGCAGCCAGCCTGGTTCCTTCCTCTGCGCTATTTATTTTTAATGGCCTTCCCCGTTAGTGACTAATCCACCGTGTTTTATCAGGTCAGATTCTGCTGAGTCAACCTGATAACAAAAAAAAAAAACAACAACTAAATTTAGCTCAGCTGGCATGGCTCAGTGACTGAGCATCGACCTATGAACCAGAAAGTCATGGTTCGATTCCCAGCCAGGGCACATGCCTGAGTTGCAAGCTCGATCTCCAGAGTGGGGTCGATAAGGGGCAGCTAATTAATGATTCTCTCTCATCACTGAAGTTTCTTTCTCTCCCTCCCTCTCTGAAATCAATAATACATATATATATATATATATATATATATATATATATATATATATATATATATATATATTTTTTTTTTTTTTTTTTTTTTTTTTTTTAATCCTTAGCTTTAAATATCTAAGTAACCACTTGGGTGTGTGGGACAGTTTTCCATCTGTGATCTCCCACCTTCTGCCCACTCACCTTGCCTTGGTGTCAGACAGCCAGGCAGGCTCTTAGGTGGTGAAGCTCTGCGGGTTGAAGACCACACTAACGGGGCTGCTAGAGCGACATCCAGGTAATCCCTGATGAAATAAATTATTGGGTGGGTGGGTGCTCTTTTTCGTGTGAAATTATTTCTGAAAGTTGCATTTTGGAAGGCAAAAAGCACCCTTCCCCTACTGCCCTTCCTGAACCTGAGTCTGCGATTTGCAGGAGAAGTTGCGTGAGAATCAGCTTAATTTGATCCAGAAAGTGTGTGAGCTCATCAGCGAAGTGAGAGCAGAATGGATGGATCACATGAAGGACCTAAAGAAAAAATGGGGCTCGGCCAGACCCGATGAAGGAAGGAAAGAGAGCGCAGCCAAAGTATGTGATTTCACTTAGCAACGGGATATCAGCACTCCCTCCAGCATCTGACCCCACCGCTCACTCTGCATTCCAGGCGGGTTCCCCTGGGAGTGCGCTAGGCTTATTAAAAGGGCACAATTGTGCTGTCTTCTGGAAGGCATGTTTCTGACGTTAGGGTTCACGCTCTCCCAAGAAGAGGGCTGGGGGCCGCCGCCTTTTCTGAAACTCAGCCTTCTTCACAGGAGCAGCTGCGGGACTTGGAGCAGGAGAACTGCAGCCTGGCCGCCCTGGTGTGCAAAGCCAGGCGCCTGGGCCGCTGGAGGCTGGCTGTGCAGCAGGCTCGCTTCCAGGGCCAGCTGAGCAGGGCCCAGAAGGTGAGCGATTGGGGGAGGGGGGGAGGCCTGGCCACGGGGGTGGGCTGAGGGGGGCTGGACTGCAGCTGCTCTGACCATCTTAAAGGATCCGACAGTAGAGCATTTTTCCAGGGAACGGGCTATGTCAGAGCCTCAAGAGAAATAGGAAAGAGCCAGAAGCAAAGGGCAAAGAAGCAAATGGGAACACAGATCAAAGTTTAGAGCGAGGAAAGGGAAAATATGAGGAGAGACTTTACAGAGGCTTGAGGCAGCACTCTGCAAAGCGCTTCAGCCCTGGCCAGCTTGGCACCGAGGTTAGAGTGTCCGCCTACGCACCGAAGGGTCACGGGTTTATACTCTGGTTTCTCCTTTTAGATCGCATAAATCTTTCACCTTTTACAAAGGGTCACCTTTTACAAAGGCGTGATTCGCTGGGGATCGAGGGCAGTACCTCAGGTGCTGGTTGGATCCCGGGGCACGTGGGGGAGGTGCCCATCGATGTGTCCCTCTCACGTGGATACTTCTCCCTCTCTCTCTCTCCCTCATCCCCTTCCGCTCTTTCTAAAAAATCAATGGGGAAAATATCCCTGGGTGGGGATTAACAAATAAACAAAACAAAACAAAAAGCTTCAAATCTTTGAGGGTTTTAAACATGCTTGTCTGAGGGAAATGAAGTAACACTGTCATAAGTGGGAAATCCGCGTTAAGGTAAATTGAAAGTCTTCCCTCTGGTCTGTCCTCTGCTGCCTTACCTCAGCCTCTGAAAGAACAGCGGGTGGCGGGTGGCGGATGGCGGGTGGCGGGTGGCTCTGAGGCTGAGCATGAAGCTGAAGTGGGAAGGACACTCATTTCCTGTCTCACTGTGTTTGGGGTGTCCACAGGAGGCTGCACAAAGTAAAAAGGAGTGTGTGAGCGCCAAGCTGATGGCAGAACAAGAAGTGGTTTTATTTCGCCAACAGCTACTGGCCCTGAGGCAGGCCCTGGCCCGGGCTCAGGCCGGCAACGTGAGGATGTGCGAGCAGCAGGAGAGCCAGGTATCGGAGCCCGGACCGGCTGGGCAAAGCTGAGTGTGGCCCCTGGAGGCCGCTGGTGCTGCCTGGCAGTCACCAGGCTCCTCACAAGCAGAGGGCGCGGCCAGAGAGAGAGATGGCTGGGGTCTCGCCTTCCTTCTCCCTCCTTTCCAGCCCAGAAACCAAGTGAGCTGGAAAGGAGAGAAACCAGTGGCCAAAAGGCTTTCATTCGTGTTCATATTTGGCTTAGATGGTGAAATGTTACTTATACAAAAGATTATTTTTTAAGGGGGTGGGGGTTGGGGGCATGGTTCTCTGATGATCTTTTCACCCAAGAGGTCTGGGTCTCTGCCTTGAATCCGATCCTTTCATCTTCCAAGCACGCTTCCATCAGAGTGTGGCCAGCTGTCAGCATTAGGCCCCAAGCAGAACTTCCGGTCCTTTCCTGATGACCCACGCCAAGTCTTCATTTCAGACGTTTCTGCTGCTTAGTAGGGACGGGCACAAAAATGACAGTGTTTCCTAATAACTGTGCTGACCCTCTGAGCATGGAGCAGAGACCCCGGGTTTAGAGAGAGAACGGCTACTTTTCAATAACAGCCTGAGAAAGCTGGGCATGTTTAAACCAAGAAATATGATTTGCTCCTTTTGGATTCTACTTCCTCCACCATTGTACAGCAGGTGATCACGGTGTATAATTATGTAAAGTCACCATACAAGTTATAGTAAGCCCTCACTTCACATCATTGATAGGTTCTGCAACTTTAAGCAAAACCATGCATAGCAAAAGCAATGTTAGCATGGGCTAATGGATAGAAGCAAGATTTAAGTCCTGCCAAAACCGGTTTGGCTCAGCGGTAGAGCGTCGGTCTGAGGACTGAAAGGTCCCAGGTTCGATTCTGGTCAAGGGCATGTACATTGGTTACAGGCAGATCCCCGGTAGGGGGTGTGCAAGGGGCAGCTGGTTGATGTTTCTCTCTCGTCGATGTTTCTAGCTCTCTATCTCTCTCCCTTCCTCTCTGTAAAAAATCAGTAAAATATATATTAAAAAAAAAAAGAAAAAAGATTTAAGTCTTAACAGCATCTCATCGACGTTATAATGAAATGATGTTGGACAAAACAATGTTACTCGAAGACCTGCTGTATTAGTCATTGTTAATTAAAGGCTGACCATATGGTGCTATTGATTAGAATAATTTCAGAACAGAACCAAATTATGACTACTGTTTCCTTCTTTAACCATCTGGAATCTGGCTTCCCCGAGGCTATTTTGGAAACCCATGTGAAGGCCAGGGTAGGCCCTCCCTCCCCACTCATTGCATGTCTTGGATCACCTGTCTCCCCAGCTTACCCCCGCTCTCTCGTGATAAATGCTCAATGATGTTACAGCTGCCGTTTATGATAGATAGAACTATTTGGTTAATAAGCTAAGTAACGTACACATTATCATCAAATTCTGGTATTAAAAGACCAAGTTATTTGATCTGGTGTGGCTGGATAGTGGCATTATCACTTGCTTGGCCATGATTGCTATTATTTTGTCTTGTGTTTGTTCTGACTGTCGCCTTGAGGCTCAAAGTAAACGCCACGCCCACCTCCTGATAGTGTTGCAGCTGGGCTGTCGTACCCTGACCGGAGGAACACTCCACACAGTTCTGCCCCGGCCCTAATGGAGGTCCCCCCAACTTCTAAATCCCTGCCTTGTGCTGAGAAGAACTTGTGCCTTTCTCATTTCCTTTGGCCTTTTCCTTCCTCAGGCTCGGTTGCTGAAAGAGTTGGAACACAAAATGACCCAGGAATCTCTCCACCGGCAGCAGCTGGATTTACTGAAAACCTCCAGCATGGAGAGGCTCTTGGAAGATGTGGAGCAAAAGGAACAGCACCTGCAGCTCCTTGCTGAAGAGGCCGAGCGGGCTGCTAGACGGGGCCAGCTCCAGAGGAGGAAAACAGAGCGAGAACTCCAGCAGGTAACTCCAGTGAGAGGGAGCCACCACTGGGAAGCGGGTCAGGCTGCCACAGCAGAACCGGTCCCTCTTCCTGTCTTTTCCATGCCTCTCATGCCCCCGAAGGCAGTGCTCCTTCACTGTCGTCACTTCTGGGACCACCAGGAAATGGAAATATTTATGCCCACCCTGGGCGATTGATTGTTCAAGCTGCTTATGTGAGAGATGATGACTTGCCTACCGCAAAGCCCAGGATCTTGGCGCCTTTGTAACCCACTTGAAAAACACGTTCCCACCTGGTTCTAATCCTTGCCTTGAACCAGGTATCCTTTAGAAAAAAATCATGCAAAAGCAACAAGTATTATGGAGGATGGATTCCTGCGAGAGCCTTTTAATATATTTTTATTTATTTCAGAGAGGAAAAGAGAGGGAGAGAGGAATAGAACCGTCAATGATGAGAGAGAATCCAAGTGCTTCATTTGAATTGCCTCATTTAATCCTGCACACCCCACGTCAGGGATCGAGCCCACAGCCCAGGCATATGCCCTGGATAGGAATCGAACCTCAATCTTCCTGTTCACAGGTCAACCCTCAATCCCTGAGCCATGCCGGCTGGGCAGCAGTGGTTTCTTTAATCTACCGCTAACCTTGACTTCCAGGGGCAGACTTGGACCCATCTTGGAGACCAGGCATGTCCTTGCCTACCTCCTGCTCCTGGGGAAGTCATTTAGGGCACAGACTGCTTGGTTCGCACCCCAAACCCCAGCTGTGTGGCTTTGGATAAGGTCTATGGCTCTAGTTTCCTCATTGGTGCAACGGAGAATAATGTACTCACCTTATGGGGTTTGGGGGAGGATTAAATGAGGTCATTCAAATGAAGCACTTAGAACAGGGACTGGCACAGCTGTCTATAAATATCAGCTGTTTGTCTTTTTGTTGGGAATATGAAGGTGGACAGCTTTGGAAGTAGGTAGACCGACCTGGCTTCAAATCCTGACTCTGCCACTAACTGGTTGTGTGACCTTGGGTAAGTCACTGCACTAACCTCGATGAAGTGGAGGTGGGAAGTGCGGACACATTATTAAGCATGTTTCTTTCCTTTGCTAATATTTTTCCAATTGGTTTAGCCAGGCCTGGCTGAGGAAGACTTACATTCCTGGGTTGGCCTGGGCTTACACTCTCCCCAGGAGGCCTGAGAACTAACGTACGCAGCACCAAAAAGCACCTCCGCTTCCCAAGCACTCTCCCCTCAGGTGAGAGGGCAGCTTGCCCAGGAGCGCAGCGTGAAGCTGGGCGCTTTCCAGCGCGTGGAAGAGCTACAAACACGTTCCCCTGGCTCCCCAGCCCCTCGTGGATAATGAGGACCCCACACAAATCCCCACAGTCCATAGAGGAACCTTCGGCCTAATTTATATTAGGACGTTTTCCTAGCTCTGAGGATCTGATCCTCTGCAGAAGTCAAAGTACAAGGAACCACCACCCTTACCATTTGCAAGACAAGCCTATGGTCACAGCTCTGCAAGGTTAGGGGCCTTTGGCTGCGTGTCTAGAGACAGAAATTAAACATACCGTGGAATTTTTGAGATTAGCATGTGTATGCGTTTGAGAGGCTGCCGTAACAAATTACCACAAACTGGGTGGCTGGAAACATCAGGAATTCGTTCTCCCACGGTTTCGGAGGCCAGGAGTCTGAATCAAGGTGTCCTGTTCCGTTAGAAGGCTTGGAGGAAGCATCTGTTCCTTCTAGCTGCCGGGGCTTGCCTGCAACCCTTGGCGTTCCTTGCCTTGTAGCTACCTCACTCTACTCTCTGCCTCCCTTGACACCTGGGCTTCACCTGTATGTCTCCCTGTGTGTGTATGAACCCTCTTCTCTTCCTACAAGGACACCAGTCATTGGAACTAGGTCCATCCTTACCAGCATGACTTCATCTTAACTTAGTTACATCCGCAAAGACTCTTTCCAAATAAGATCACATTTTTAGGTTCTAGGTGGACATTGATTATGGGGGGGACACCATTCAAACCACTGAACTATTATTACTTTTTTATTGACTTCAGAGAGGAAGGGAGAGAGAGACACACAGAAACATCAATGATGAGAGAGAATCATTGATCGGTTGCCTCCTGCACACCCTCTACTGGAGACCGAGCCCACAGCCCGGGCATGTGTCCTTGACCGGAATCCAACTGGGGACCCTTCAGTCAGCAGGACGACACTCTATCCACTGAGCCAAACCAGCCAAGGCTATTACTTTTTTATCATAAAAAACCTAGGCAATAATAAAAATAAATTTTCAAAGAAATACTGTCCGTGATCTGTGCAGAGGAGGTGCACTGTGGACCCAGGGACTCGCGGGCCAGGAGCCGTGAGTCAGCTGTGCAGGGAGTAAACACAGAGGTTGCCTCCGAGTGTGGGCCTTCCATCAGGGCCTCCGGCTCCCCTGAGGCGAGGAGCCGAGCCGAGCACAGGGGGCTGGGAGCGATCGGCTTTCCTCTGCTTGAAACCGTGCAGGGGCTCCTGCACCCGGGTCCTTGGGGCAGGTGCACGGCTTGGCCTCCAAGGTCCTCTTCCCCCCCCTCCCCCTGGTAAAATAAACATAAAAGACATAAGTTTGTGATTAAGCACCTGACTTTATAAGGTAATAAGGGATTCCCAGGGCTGCCTCTGCTCCTTTTTGGTTCAGTTCCTGGCCTTCCTTGAGCTCTTGATGCTCACAAGGCCGAGTGCAGCCTGACCAGGACTCGTGAAGACTTGTATTCCGGGGTGGCCTGGACCCACACTCCCCTCAGGAAGCCGAGGAACTAACGTACGCAGCACCAAAAAGCACCTCCGCTTCCCAAGCACTTTCCCCTCAGATGAGAAGGCAGCTCGCCCAGGAGCGCAGCGTGAAGCTGGCCGCTTTCCAGCGCGTGGAAGAGCTCCGGAGTCAGCTTACTGCCGCTGCGAGGTCCTCGGTCCCGATGAGCTCACCCGGAGGTAAGCACAGGCACTGCTCTGGCCAGAACAAGCCCCCAGGGCCCCGGGTCAGAGGTGAAGGAGGGTCCCAGGGATTAGCCATAACTACTCAGGGGCTATTGAGTGGGTACGCCACGATGCTTGTTGAATGAGTGAACGATACATGAATGAATAAACCTTTGTTCTGATTTGCAGGCAGAATTTTCTACTCTAGTTCCCTTGAGTTACTGCCATCCTACATTAAATGGTTTCAGTCATAAAAACTGGTCCCAGGAGAGTGTAGCCTGGTGACTGAGTGCAGAGGCTTAGAGTGTACCCCCTAAGAACATTGGGTCTTTCACTGGGTTTTGAAGCATCTCAGTACCTTGGGATATTAACGACCACCTTTCTGAGATGTTATTCACAAAGTCCACTCTGATTCTTGGGTGCTGGGAGCTTGAGGAGTTTTATGGAAATAGCACAGTCCTCTGGGCTATGCAGCCCACAAGCAGCATGGAACCGATGCCAGACCCCAGGGTGTCTTTACACTAGCTTCCTCCATATAAGATGAGGACTAAGTCCAGGTTCTCTCCGAGCCCTGACTATCGGAAATATCACCAAATGCCATCACCATGGCTCACCTCTTGTTAAGATCAGCCATGCCTCCTCTTTTCTGTTCTGCCGTGTAGCCTGGTGATTGAGTGCGGGGCCTTTGGAGTAAGATAACCAAGATTCAAACCCTGTCCCCCATACCTCCAGCTCTGTGACCTTAGACGAGTTAGTTAGCCACTTTGTAAAATGGGAATAGCTACCTCAGAGGGGCACTGTGAGGATTAAATGGCATAAGGCACGCCTGGCACACAGAATAGATAGGATAGCAGCACTAAAGTGTGCAAATGCCGGTTACTCCACTCTCATGCCTGTGCTGTACTTTTATGTTTCCTGCTGGCTACTTACCAGTGTGGCTGATGTGAGAAAACACAGCCTTTCTGGAGCAGAAAGATCTGTCTCAAAGATCAAGTTACTTTGGGTTTACTGAGAGCAGGGCTGGGCTTGTCGGTAAAGCCCAGGGCCCTCGCCCTGCCTCTGTGCCTGCTGCCTGGGCCCTGACAGCGAGCAGGCTGGCGTCCCTGGCCCCAGCCACCCAGTCCAAAGAGGAAGAACATCAAGAACATCCAAGGGCCCTATTTTGGCCACTGGCCCTGAGTATGACACTGTCCTTTCCACATGCCCTGGATTTTTGTTTCTCTGCCTTTTTGATCCCTTTCTGGGTTAATGTGTGTCATGTAACTGCCACCCTGTCCTTCAACACCTGTGTAATTACAAAGGAGAGCCACGGGGCATAAGGAAGGTGGGGGAACCTAATTCCCAGGACTAGGGATATAGCAGGAGGAAGAGACCCTTTTTCCCAGGAGGCGGAGGTAGAAGTCAGGCCCCCCAGGCTCGCCCCCATCTGTGCCCCTCTGCAATGACAGGAGGAGGGCTGGCTGAGGACATCCTATCTGTAGACTCATTAGAGGGGAGGGACTGGGTCATACCTGTCTGTTCAGTGCCCAGCACTCCAAGGGGACAGGTTCTTTTCCCCCACAACACCAGTGCCACAGGGTGAGTCAGTGGGCAGAGTGAGGTCTCTCCTCTCTGCAGGGGCGGCAGCAGCCTCCCTGCTCCCCACTTCAGAAGCCGAGCCTTGGTGAAGGAGCAAACTCTCCCAACTTGGCATTAACATGGATTCCCCTAGGAACTTGCAACTCCTGAGGAGCTATCACTGTACCAGCTCAGTAATTCTCAAAACGCTTCAGGGGATAAAAAGGAAACCAACTGACTCACAAAACTGTGAGATAGTCAGAAGTAGACTGGCTTCAGTTAGTTTGTTGAAGGTTGGAAATATTCCTTAGACTGGGTTCTCTCTATCGCTGGGCTCTGAGAATGCTGAGAGCAGAAAGGAATGCTGGGAAGCAAGATGCCTACCCTTCCCCGCCTCACCCCCACCCCCCCACCAGTCCATAGCTTCCATCCCCTGTTCAAGCTCGGGTGGCAGGAATAGAGTGTGGAGATGGGACAAAAATAATTGGGCTCTAACTGGGCTCTGCACCCAATTCTTCATTTTATTTTTATTTTTTAGAGGCGGAGGAAGGGAGGGAGGGAGAGAGAGAAACATTGATGTGAGAGTGCAACTTTGATCAGCTGCCTCTCGCACAACCCCTACTGGGAATGGAGCCTGCAACCTTTCAGTGCATGGGACAACGGGCCAGGGCTATGTGCCCTATTTTATTTATTTTTATATTTTAAATATATACTTTTAAACATTTTTTTTATTATTGATTTTTAGAAGAGGAAGGGAGAAGGATAGAGAGATAGAAACATCATCGATCGGCTGCCTCCTGCGCACTGTCCACTGGGGATCGAGTCCCAACCTGGGCATGTGCCCTGACCAGGAATCGAACCGGTGACCTCTTGGTTCCCAGGTCACCACTCAACTCCTGAGCCACATGGTCAGGCTATGTGCCCAATTTAAAAAAAAAAAAAAAAAAAAAGCACTTAAGACAGAGACTAAGCTGCTTGGTTGGCTTCTGCTCAGTTCACACAGTTTTCCCCTGGAGCTGAGGATGGTGTCAGCCTACTCCCTCCTCTTTGCAGCAATTATTTTAAATATTCCTGGTCTCGTCAGGCCTTCAGACATTGTCCTTTTCGCCCATTTCACAAAGAAGTTACAAGTCTATCAGGTGAAAACTCCCTCTACTTCCTGTCCCCAGCCTACCTACATCCACACTGCTGTTAAAATGAAAAAGGTGCCCTTTCCTTCCTCTGGCCAATCCTGATCCCATATGCTCTCCTAGCTTCTCAGGGACCTTGAACTCATCTTTATCTGCTTCCTGGCTACACATCTATCCATTTCCCACACATCTATCCTTCTAACCTTGTAGTCAGCAATTACTGAGCATGTATGTGCCAGGATCATAAAATCCTTTGTAAAATAAAATTAACATCTATCCAGTTGCTTGAGCCAGAAATCTGGGAGATCTTCTACCTCACCCTGCCAACCCAGTTAATGACTAAATCCTACCAACTTGAAGATCTCTCAGTCTGTCCGCTTCTCCACACAACAGTCCAAGTCACCCATGAACCCCTTCTCGTTCACTTGGTTATGTTACCCTTAGGCAAGAGACTCTATCCAGGTTTTGACATTTTTTACTCAAAATTAATGAAGCTGGGTTATATGTCCATTTTAAGCTTTAAAATTTTATGAGTTACATCTAGGTCTGTACATTGCAATTAGAGATATAATTTAGCATTTTTAACATTATAGGCCTTCTACCCCGGGCTCCGTACTTCCTCAGTTCTGCTTCTGCATCATCCAGATACTCTCAGCAAGACCTTCTAAAGACTAGTCTTATGGGCAATAAAATAACAAGAAGGATTCAGAGGCCAAAGACTGTAAGTAATGATAAATTTGAATATATATATATATTCATTGTTATATATATATTCATAGATATATTCATAGATATGAAGTTATGGTTTTAGGGTCACTTCAAACTTACATTAAAAATTACATGTGAAAATTTTATCTATGGTAGGTGCTTACTTAGGTCTGGATAATAGGATTTGTCCATCAATTGCTGCCGAATCAGTATTTGTGGAGGGAAAGAGGGCCCAGGGCTTCCTACTCTATGGTATTGCTCCTCAGTAATAAAATTCTGATATTGAAATAAGTACGCCTGAGAGCACTTACTCAATTACAGTTCAATCAATACGTGTAAAAGTCAGTCATGTTCTGCCTCTCAATTTCCTCTCCTTTTTTCACTCATTTACAATAATCAACTATAGTACCCTGTTTCCCCCAAATAAGACAGTGTCTTATATTAATTTTTCTCCTAAAGTTGCGCTAGATCTTATTTTCAGGGGATGTCTTGTCTTTCCATGCGCTAGGTCTTATTTTCGGAGGATGTCTTATTTTTGGGAAAACACGGTAGCATCAGATTCCTTATCTGAGTTCCCCAGCAAAACAGAGTTCAGAAGTCAGTTTAACACACGTGAGAAATATGCCCTCCAAAGAAATTCTTGGAATGCATATTAGCTTGAGGTGTAGCATATACATGAAGATTTATTAAAAATATTTCAACTTTTAGTTCATGTGAAGCAGCATTTACATCCTCACCCACAGCTTCTTTGTACTACCTGAATACACATTACACTCTTTGCTCCAATGTCTTTCAGGATTGCCCATCCCCACTTCCTCCTCCCCCCTAAAGATTTACATACCTAAAGAATTCTAAGTGTTATGCTAAGTGAAAAGAATTCAGAGAAAGACAAATGCCACATGATTTCACTTACTGGTATATGTGGACTCTAAAGAACAAAATAAATGAGCAATCAAAACAGAAACAAACGCATAGATAGGAAATAACTGATGGTTGCCAGGTGGGAGGTAGGAGGTGGGAGGAGGACTGGGCAAAAAAAGGTGAAGGGGAATGACCAAGTACAAATTGGTAGTTACAAAATAGCCACTAGGATGTAAAGTGCAGCATAGGGAATATGTAGTCAATAATATTATAATAACCACATATGGTGTCAGGTGGGTACTAGACTTATGGGCGTTGATCACCTCGTAAGTTATATAAATGTCTAACCACTACACTATACACCTGAAACTCATGTACTATTGAATGTCAACTGTAATAGAAAAATAAAAAGTATTTTTTAAAAATTCCTTCTCTCTTACCTTGAGAAAAATTAAAGAAAAACATTTCATCATTCGGTTAGAGAAAATATGCTCTTGTAAGGCCACTTGTGAAGGTATAAATGTTGTGGGGTTGAAATCTGGGTTCAAAATAAGACCACCGGAAGCTGATGATTAATTAAAAAAAGCAGGCAAGGATTTATTGAAATAAAAACTGGCCAGGACAGCCGTGAGAGCACCACACGCAGACGGTCTCCACACGACTGCACCGTTTCAGGGGTAGGCAGTCCCTTTTAAAGGTTCAAACCACAAGAATTTTCCTTTGTTCTAAATTTTAAATCCTAAAGACTGCATTCTAAAGACTGGGGTCAGCCCACAGGGTTGATGCTAGTCATATCCTGCTGGACATTGGAATGTGGCCCTATCTTGCAATAGCCGATAACACAGAAGCAGAGCTCAGCGGTTAGACCCTAAAGGTTATCTACAGTTTCTATCCCTGAAGCTACTGAGTCAGTGGGAATCAATCTCCTGTGGTCCTGGTCCCAGGCAAGGGAAAATTGCTTTAGCCCCCAGGTCTCCACCTGGAAGCTGGAGGTAAGTATTCCGTGTTTAATCAGGCAGGAGCCAGACTTAGCCCGGTTAAAATTCAAACAGCAGTTTATACCAAAGTATGGTTGCCACAATATTTCATAATTCTATGGCTCACATCTAATTTTTGGACCAAAGGTTTGTTGCGGTATTTCTAAACATGCAGTTAAGAGGCAACACACAGAGAAGGAAAAAACAGGTCAGGAACAAACCCAATTGAGACCCTTGACCGAGTAGGGCCACATTATTAATGCCCACCGTTTGCTTGACTCACCAATCTCTGTGGAGTCATCTTTGACCAAAATGTGAAATTCTACTATATATCTATGTTTTTTTGAGAAAGCCTTTTCCAAAAGGAAGCAACATTTAGGTGTGTATGGGACCAAAGGGCTTTTAAGATGAACCCCATCCCCATTTCACTCCACAAAGCGAATGTTTCTACCGTGGGAGATCACAACCTTGTGGTTCAGAACACTGCAAAGTAAGTAAATGCATTAGTGGGGACCACTCTGTGTGAGAGATTTGGAAGGATGGTGTGATAATCTAAAGCTAATTGTGGGACATTATCCTACTGCAGAAATAAATCCTAATGATGAAGGAAGTACCCTGTGGAGCCCGGCTTGTGTGCAGTATAGAGATCCCATGCATAAAGCCGAAGGCCCAGGAAAGGCAAAAAATTACTTGGAACCTCTCCAAATCTATGTAAGGTCTGACTTCTGAAGCAAGGCTATGAGACAAGTCAGATAAAGACAGATTGAAAGGGAATTTATGCATAGCTGGAATGTAAGAACACCAATTATTTTCTAAAACAAGAAGAGCACTGCATTAACACAAATGATAAAACATTAAGGAATTTTTAATTACTCCAAATATGGGATATCTTTTTTTTCCTTAGGAAGAAATGGCTTTCCACTGATGGATCCATTCTTCACCAGTCCTCTTTGTGACAAGTGGCAAAATATGTATAAGAAGGCCTTCTCAATGGCCTAATCCAGATCAGACAGTGATCTTGGTCTCTTTAGTGACAGTGACTTTTAATGATGCTATAATAATTCATCATCTTCATCAAAAGTTCCAATATCTATTTAATATTTATATTGCAGGTACCTACTAAATACAAAAAAAGGACTGACGATGTCTTCCTACCCAATGTGTCAGAAAATGTTCAATTTTCAGCTTTTCAAGTTCAAACAGCTCCATCCAGAATCCCCTTTAGACCTGACTGGTAATCATAAATCCTTTTCCAACTTCTATTTCTATAAGCACTTAAATAAATAAAAATGATTCTAAACTCCATTAAACCTTTGTTTTTTTATGTTTTTTTTTTTTGTTTTTTTAATATATTTTATTTTGTACAGAGAGGAAGGGAGAGAGATAGAGAGTTAGAAACATCGATGAAAGAGAGTCATTGATCAGCTGCTTCTTGCACACACACCCCCCCCCCCCCCACTGGGGATGTGCCTGCAACCAAGGTACATGCCCTTGACCGGAATCAAACCCGGGACCCTTCAGTCCCCAAGCTCTATCCACTGAGCCAAACAGATCTTGACACTCCATCAAACATTTGATCTAACATTTATTATCAGTACTGTGAAGACAGTGTAGAAGGACTGGCATGATTATGCCTCAAATGTCCCAGGTGAAGTAGGACTAGGATTTGGCCTTAGATTTTAAAAAGTAAGCATTGGTTTGCATATCTACCAAGTGGAGCTTGCCTCTGGCCATCCAGCAGCCTCAGGATCTGGGTTCTAGAAACACTGACTAGATGAAATAGTCAGGAGAGAGGACGTTGCTACTAAGCAGCATTTACTAACAAGTGGAAAACTTAAATAGATCAGTCCAAATAAATTTCAAAGCCCTTGTTTCTATTTGTTTCACTTAAGAACATCATTCTCTAACAGGTTTTTCGTTCCTCTACAAATACCAAAACCCTCTTCAGATTTTTATAAATTTCTAACCCACGTCTTCTTGTTCAGACAAGAAAATCTATCTTGGGTAAAATAATAACTAACTAGATGAATGGAACAGAACAGAGAAACATATTTATATGCATAAATTTATATATATATATATATATATATTTTTTTTAATATATATTACTTTTCATAATTAAGGAGAAGGTTGAGTCTATCTATCTGAAGTGGGTTAAATCATCACCTTACACTATACACAATGAATTTCAAATGGATTAAACATCTATATGCACATAAACATAGACAAAAATTTATTTCTGAAATATATAAGAAACAAAAAATCCAAAGGAATATTGATGACTTTGATATCAAAGCTAAAAATTCAACAGGACAAGGTATGGCACCAGTTACCAATTTACAAACCTCTCTGCTCCAAATTCATCTTTGTCTGCTGCGAAATATTTAATATGGACCCTGTAAATATTTCTTCTCTGCCAACTGGCAAGATGTTAAGCTTTGTCAGTAGAGGGTGCTGGGAGGATCCTGGAGGAGAAAGAAGGGTTTCTCTCCCGGGGTCTCCTTTGGGCAGGCAGCTCCTGCAGTGCGCATGGCTTCTGCAATGCCCTGATCCAGTGAATTCCTACAATTGTTTTCTGACCTCATTCTTGAAGGGATAATTGGGATTCCCCTTTCTATCAAGAGAGTAAACCAGAAGCAATACTTCGTCCCTGGAGAAGCTGCAGAGATTACCACCAAAAACACTTGAAAGCAAGCAAGGGTGGTGGGCTCTATCACATCTTCATTCACCGCTTTTGCCTATGCAGAAAATAGATGGATCTTGGAAAATAACTAGGGACGACCAAGCCCACACCTTAACCAGGTAGTGGTTCCAATTGTAACTGCTCTCCCAGGTGTGGTATCTTTACCGGGGCAAATGAGTGTCTCAGGCACCTGTTATGCAAATGTAACAGCTTTTGCTCCACATCAAATTGCAAGGACCACAAGAAGTAGTTTGCTTTTACCCTACAAGGTCACTGTATATCTTTAAATTCTTCCCTGAAGGCTTTGTCATTATATCCCATAAAATAGTCATATTGGTTCACTACATCAATAATGCTGATATCACGAGCAGAAAGTAAATATTATACTTTAGGTATAAGAACTAAAGGGTGAAATATAAACCCTACAAAAATTCGGGGCCTTTAGCCTCAATGAAAATTCTCTACAGGTTCAATGCTTAGTTGGGAGAATGTTAAAATAAGCTCCTTCAAGATGAAAAACATGTTGCTTCATCTCAGACTATGTATCATGAACAAAAGCATGATGCTTAATAGGCCTGTTTGGATTTAAAGGCAATACGTAGCGTATTTGAGTGTGCTGCTTCAACCCACCTAGGAAGTTATCCGTAAGATCCACAGGCACTCCAACCAGGGCCAGAGATTGAGCCTGCAACCGAGGTGCATTGCCCTGGAAGGAATCAAAACCTGGACCCTTCAGTCCTTGGGCTGCCACAGCTCTGTCCACTGACCCAAACCCACCAGGGCAAGATTAATCAATTTTTAGTGGGGACCAGAGTTAGAAAAGGCTGCATTGTGATTTTGAGTTAAAATACAAGCTAACCAGGGGATATTGGGTAATCATATAGCCTGAGCTTCCCATCATAACATGGGTGTTGTAGGACCCAGCTAATCATAAACTTGAACAGCACAGTAGATTGCTTTTCACTCCACAGGCATACACAGTCATGCCTCCAACCATCATTTCTAAGGCTCTATCACAGCAGCAATCTATCATCAGTGGAAATGGTATTCATTCAACTTAGCTTGCTGGGGAGGTCTTAAAGGTACAAATGGCTTCCATTGAACATATGGCTCAAATTATTTCAACATCAACTCCTGTTACCTCCTCTCTCTGGACTTGGGTGTTACTATTAGCTAGACAAGAAAAAAAAGTCTAACTTGGTTTATGAATATGTCTGCATATCAGTTCAAGCATGATTGCAATTCTCATCCCAGCAACCTCAAGTGATACTGGTTTGGAGGTCTTAGTTCCTAAGGGATTCATTCACCAGTACAACCATGAGTCTATTTAAAGATCTCAGTTGAGGCTCCCAGTGTCTGTCTTGGGATTCTTATGCCACTACCAATAGGCAGTAAAAGGCATTACTCTACTGGCTGGGTTAATCCTGAAAACAAAATGTGAGAATGCTAGAGGCTAATCCAGCAGCGTCATAATATTTTGAGAAAAGTCCTCAAAAGGTTGAATGGACTCTTTCAGCAGGGCTGAAGTCTGCAGGTTACCTGCTGCTGGAACAGCCTAAGGCAATTCCCCTAACTTAATGATCCATTATTTTTTTAATATACTTTGATTTTTTTTTTTTTACAGAGAGGAAGGAAGAGGAATAGGTAGAAACATCGAGAGAGAAACACCAACCAGCTGCCTCCTGCACTGGGGATGTGCCCGCAACCAAGGTACATACATGCCCTTGACCGGAATCGAACCCAGGACCCCTCAGTCCGAAGGCCTACGCTCTATCCACTGACTGAGCGAAACCGGTCTCGGCTGATAATCCATTATTACCAAGCCTTAACTTTGATATGTATATCTGCTATGCTAGAGGGCAAAATGTGTGAATAAAGCGCCCTAGGTGCAGAGATTCAAGGAGCTTAGTCACTAGAATTGTTTCCATCTGGCTCCCCCATGCCCTCCAAATTCATATTTCTTCTCTAGCCTCTTCATTCATTTATGCACAGCCCCGTTTCCAGATTCCTGAACTTGTAGATGTGGAAAACATCCCAGCATGAGAAGACAGTGGACATCATTCAAATGCGGGAAGCAAAAAATGTCAACCTAGAATTTTATATACAATAAAAATCTTTTTCAAAAAACAAAGGCAGACACACAAAAACTGAGTTAATTAACAATATCTGTACCATCATAACTAAAAATATTAAAAGGTTAAAGGACAATCTTTAGGAAGGAAGTAAATACCAGTGCAAGTAATGGAGAACACAAGAAATGGTAATTACATGGGTGCCAAGTACACAGGACATTTTATCATCCAAAAAAAACAACAAACAAACAAACAATTTTAAGCCCCATTCTTACCAAAAGTTCATTTTTCTATAGCAAAATTATTAAATCCAATCTTCTGGGCTTTATGATATACAGGGGAGTCTTCTCTCTTCTTAGTCTAAATTCTGGGATGTAATATATATAGACTATAACCTTGGCCAGAACATGGACCAAAAGTACCAAACTTCACATACTAATCATGTGGCTTGATACTAGATATTTATACAAAGTACTCTCTACAGAAGCCCAATTTTACTCTACATGCAATCTAAACTAAAAGGCAGTTCAAGCTTTTAGTTTTATAATAAATGTCAGTTTTATAACAAATGTCAGTTTCTTGGTGGAGATTAAGTGGATGATTTCTATTGATTTGTGGAAGATCTTTGCACATCACTCAACAGGCATATAAAGTCATCCCTCCAACTATCATTTCTAAGGCTCTGTTCTCCAGTGAAAGAGTAATTTAGTTACTACTTGCTGGTCTTGGGGAGCAACAGAAATTGAGTAGACACCCATCTTCAACCCAAGTTATAATGTAAATTCACCAGCATTAACTGTCAAAATCAAAAAACAAACACACACTTCAGTTCATTAAAAAGGACAAATCAATTCAATAAACATGTAGATTTATTTTCAATCAGTTTGGTACATGATAGATTGGTTTTGTAGTTTTTCATGAACTAAAATAGAAATTTCTAAATACAGCAGTGTCTGCCTGTACACAAATATTTTAAGATAAAATAAGGTATTTTGATAGAACTACACCTGCATAAAATAATCAGATGAAAAATCTGAAAAGGTTTCTATATACCTTCTGGATTAAAAAACCCAAAAATTATTAATGACTACAGAAACTAAATTGCTAAAGAAAGGAGGGGAAAAGGCTGTGAATTTGGTTGTAAGAGCTCTTCTTGCAAAATCTAGTTTCAAGTGATATGATTTTGTTGAGAGAGTAGTATTCAAAAGCCAATTTCACAAAAACTGCTGTTGTGTTGACATTAATGTGTGCCAAGGTATTCATATCTAGGTAAATATCTGTAGCCAATTTTTGCCACTTTGGAAGAATGGAAATTCTGCATACTTTCAAATAAATTTTGTATCTTACAGTACTCACTAAAAACTAAGCCATGGCACCATAATACAATTTTTGTGAGGTACCTAGAATATTACTAATGAAAACAAAATTGTGAGGTAAACCTACCTTTTCCCAAAAACCTTTGAAGCCAGAGATTTTAAACAATTAAGGCACTTGAAAACATTAGGTGTACGTACAAATGTGCAAGTAAAACAAACTTTAGCTGTACC